TTTTAAAAACTAGTTATTGCCTAGAATAGGTTTCCCTATTTCTGCACTTTGAAATAGTTATTTTTGTCTTGTGTTAGTCTTTTCTGTGTAGGAAATAATAGGACTGTTATTTTTTATATATTAATATGAGAATCTTCATTTATATATAGTATAACTATTGACATATTACTTTATGCAAATCTTCTGTAAAAGAATCACTTAAAATTTTTCAAAACAAGGATATCACTTTGATGAGTAAAGTGCACCTGATCAAATCCACAGTCTCTTCAATCACCTCAAATGCATGTGAAAACCAAGTCTGGAGAAAGGAAGACAGAAGAATCAATGTGTTTGAACTGCGGTGCTGGCAAAAAAAAAAAAAATTAAATATACGTACCATGGACTGCCAAAATTTTCCTTTAAAAATTGTTTTTTAAAAAATACATCCAGAGTGCTCCTTAGAAACATGAATTGGAAGACTTTGCCTTATTTACTCTGGACACATCACCAGGAAAGAGCAATCACTAGAAAAGAGCATCATGGTTGATAAATTAGAAGGTCAGCAAAAAGGAGAGAAACTCTAAATGACATGAATTGATACTAGAGCCCTAACAATGGGCTCAAACATGAAGATAACACAAAATCAAACAACATTTCATTCTGTCATACATGAGTCTCCAAGAGGCAGATGCCTTGGCAACTAACAATTACAAGTTACTAACATATTTTGACTACTTCCTACCACTGCGTTTCATATTAACCAATTTTATATTTGGTTTTTGTTTTCTTGTTTCACTACTGGCTTAAAGTTATTCCTATTTATTTTTTCTCTCTCCTACTTGTCATCCTGAAGTTCTACTGCATATTTTCCCAGGAGCTTGGTGGAGCTGTGGTTAAAGCATTTACCTGATAATGACAAGGTCAGTGATTTGAACCCACCAGACACCTATGAGAGAAAGACAGTGAGCCTTCTAAAATAGTACAGCCTTCGGAGTTCTATGGAGCAATTCTACTCTATCCTGTAGGGTCACGATGAGTTGGAACTGACTTGATAGTAATAGGGTTTTTTTAATGACTGGTCAACATCTGTTTCTTCCTCCTGAGCAAAATGAGAACTTAACTTCCTGGAACTCTAACTGCCCTGTGAAGCCACTTCTGTCACTTACCAGTTGTTATTGTGTACTGTCAAGTCAGAGTTGACCCAAAGCTGACCCTCTGACAGGTTGTCAGAGGCAATGAATCACATGGGAGGAGATGGCCCATCCTTCTTCCACAGAGCAGCTGGTGGATTCAAACTGCGTGCCTTGGGGATTGCACCACAGCTTTCTGCTACTAGGCCACCAATGCTCCCTACCAGTAAGGGTAAATTTACTGACTCCGACTCACAGATACCCTGTATTTAACAGAAGGAAATGTTGCCCAATTGCTTCATGAGTGCTGGCGTGTGTCAGTCAGTGTTTACATATGCTTCAACAACTGTAAGAGAAAGCGTATATTTTAATGGTTTCTTTGCTTACTACAGTACTTGGGTTTTTACAGTTTATGTGCTGTTTTGAGAATTTATTTTCAGAAAGGACGTATGTGTAACACACTTTCTGTACCACATTGCTAAAGTATCTTTATTGGGTGTTGCGACCAGAATGCTAGTTTGGCTAGGTATATTATTCTAGCCACAAACCCAGTCCCCTTGGAACTCTGAAGACACTTTCTCTTTACTAATATTACCCTAACGATCCCTGGTAGCACACCTGTTGGCCTTGTAACCAAAACGTCTTTCAAATTACCAGCTCTGTGGGAAAATTAGGAGGTGACTCTTCTCAAAAAGATTTATGACTTCACAAACCTGATGGAGAGTAGATATAAACTGGAATTGATTCTATGGCAGTGTTTTTGTTTTGTGTTGTTTTTTAGTCTTTCTTTGGGAAATCTTAGAGTCAATTTCTTTTCATTTCTTTCCAGGGAATCTGGGTTTAAAAAATGTTGATTTTTAAGATTTTCCATCTAACCTTGCTGTTCTAAAATGTCATAAAAATTTACTAGGAAATATAAAGATAACTAATAACACGTGTATGAGGATCCAAGGGGGAAAGGATGTAGCAGAGAAGTGAGGATGGGTGAGGAGGTAAAGTGGTTAATCATAGGGCCATACAATTTTATGGGTAGAGGGAGGGGTGAATAAAAGAAATGGGAAAGATCCAGTGTGAAAACAATGTATACGAACTTTATAAGCAAACCCATAGAAAATAAAAATTTTATTTAAAATAAAAGAACGTAAAAAAATGTATCTAGGATTTTCTTAATTGTGTTTCATAGGCCAGATTTCTTTCTCCTGCACCTCTGGTACATTTTCAAGCACTAAGAATCGGTTCTCTAACAGCTATTGTTCTAGACACTGGAGAAAACAACCCTGAGCAGTAAAGCCTGGCTCAGTCCTTGCTTACATTCTGCCCTTAGGAGCCCAATTTCCACGCCCCTCATCCAAGAGGCCTTCAGATTCCTCTACCAGGATGTTCACCTTGACCTTGCTGGAGGCTGAGCCTGTCAGTCAACACTTTCTGAATTGTGAGAACCTCAGGGAGCAGGTGTGGGAATTCATAACTGTAACCCACAAACCTTGATCCCTGGGGCTTAGACAGCGCTGTAGAGAGTTTATGTCTGACCATCTTGCGCATGTGCCTTTCAGCTCTAACAGTGCCTTTCTAAACCGGACAGCACAGCACAATGGCAAGGAGCCTGACTGGAGGCTTCTCCAATACTTTCCAATGGACTGAAACAATCACTTAGCCTTGGATCTAAACACTTAGCCTTGAGCCTCAGCTCCTCATCTAAAGAGTGAGGTAACAGTACTGCTCTCATGAGGCAGAGCTGGTGGTATGTAGCTGAGACCAGAACAAGCACCCACAAACAGGGTCAGCCTCAGACCCATCCAACCTGACCTGCCCTGACCCAGCATCATGGCCTAGCACCCTAATCCATTATCTGACACAGCACTCTGACCCAGCCTCTCACATTCACCAGCCCCCTCCCACCCAGAGCCCTGATTCAGTCCCACTGACCCACCATCCCAACTTGCCCTCTCCAACTGGCACCTTAACCTGACCACATTGACCCCTTGTTCACACACAGTATTTTGACCAAAATCTCAACTCTGCCCCTATCCAGCAGCAAACCTGACACCCTTGCCTAGCACACCGACCCACCACCCTGTCCTAGTGTTCTGATATAGTATCCTGACCTGCTGTTTCAACTCCGATTTCAACAGCCCTGGACTGAGAAAGAGCTTCTCCCTCAGAAGTGAACCAAGTAGCTCTGCTTAGCCAGAAGGCCCAGTCTAGCACACTTTACCCTCTCAGTTCTTCCTCTAGCACAAACACTGCTGGATCACCTATCGGAATCCACAGGCCAGGCCCTGGAGGTCAGAACTCAGCCCAGAAATACAGCCCTTCACACAAAGCTCAGTGTGACAGGTGTGGGGCTGCCGCACCCAGGACTTGAGGTTGTAGACAATCCCTGACACAGACAAGCATGGGTGGGACTTCTTGCGTAATTATGTCTAGCAGTTAAACCACCACCCTCCCAGGGTCACCTGGGGTGTTATGGGGGCTGATGAGAGGAACAGGCCAGAGAGCCACCTCTAGATCACTCAGTCAGAACCTCAGTTTTTCCAACCAGCTCTCATTTGGTTTTTGCCCTCAAAGGACAATGAGAGGAGAGATAGAGGGGGTAAGTGACCAGCAGTGTAGCTGGAAAGCTGGTTATGGCACAGATGGTAGTCAGAAAGTTCAGGTAGAAAACCAGAGCACCGAGGTGGGGGTAGGGACAGGGCCCAGGGACCATGCAGCCCCTAATTGCCTGCAGTGGGGCAGGGGTACATGTGGGTCAGGCAGCTGTGGCAAGGGTACTGGAGTAAATGAGAATGCCAAGAACCTCTAGGTGGCCCCTGGTCATAGTTATAGGTCAGATTAGGAAAAGATAAGGAGAGAGAGTGGGCAGAGTGAGAGAATGATCAGAACAGAAATCATGCATCAGACCTGCAGTGTGTCCATGAGAACCTTCCGGGGCCCCCATGAGAACATCCACAAAGACACTGGTAGGGAATGCCCAGGGTCTGGTCACTGGGCACAGAAGCTCAGTCTTTGGTGGGAAAGAGGTCTGGGGGCCTGGATACAGCATCCCTTGGGCCCTGAATCCTGTGCTGTAAGCCAGCTCCCCATTTTGTGTGTCAGGAACGTGGGTCTTTGGAAAACCACAGAGGCTTGGGTAGGTTGGCAAGACAGAGTAAATTTAATGTTGGGTCCTTGAAATGGTACCCATCCTGTGGCTCCTGATACCAAAATCAAGGTGGCCGCCCACCATCCTGAGGGAGAACTGACAGGGAGGGCCGGGAGGGCCAAGAGGGTGAGCCTGGCAGAGTCAAGGTTGCCACTCCTCCCGTGTGTCAGGTTTGCTAGCACCTATCCAGAGCACGGGTGCCTCAGGTGGAGGAACAGAGAAGAGACTCCTCTTTGGCTTTGGGGCAGGTTAAGCTAGGCACTACCTCCTGCCCACCTGTACTGGCACCACAGAGGCTCACCTGGCAGCTGGGATGGGGAACCGGGGAACCTGGGTGCCCACACGCTGCCCAACCCCAGCCAAGTCCCAGGTCCTTAAAGGCCAGGTGGAGAGGAAAGCCCCACCATGGCTCATGATTGAGATGTTGCTTGAGACAAAGTGACTGAGAAGTGGACTGACTGCAGGTCCAACGTGAGACTGACCACCACTCAGCCTGATGTTGTCACGGTGCCCCTCAATTCTGGGGAACTGCTGGATGGCACAGCCTATCCTCCTGCTTTGGGCTCTCCTCTTGAAGTACCTTGACGCTCTCTCAAATGCAAGTCGTCGATTAGCAAACTCAACATAAACATAAGGGATGCCAGGGCCCACCCACACAAGGCAAAGGTCTGAGTATTAGCCCAGCTCCCCAGCAGCTGAGAGTCAAGTGTGGGCCATCGGTGGGGTAGTCTCCCCAACACCAAGCCTGGTCAGTAGTATGCCTCAAACAGGGCAGCAACCTTCTGGAGGATGGTATTGTGGTTGGTGTACAGCGGCATGCGCCTATCCACCACCTGCCAGCGGAAGTCCACCTCGTAGTCTTTTTTCTGTAGGTGCTGGAAAGATAAAGCAGGCCTGAGCCACTGCTCACCTGACACACTTCCCCGCCTCCTCCTGTCACTGTCGCCACCCACTGTTAAAACTCTGATCTGGGGTTGGCACGCTGTGTTTTTTTAGAACACGGAATGAGAACGTCTACTTTAGGTGCCAGTCACCTAACCCTTGCAAAGCTCCTGAGCATCCTTGAAGAGAGAGACAAGCCTGTGCATGCCTTTCCCTAAGCATGCTAACCTATATCCAGCCTATTCTGGATCAGAACATGGAAGATTGGTCCAGGTGGATAGGACATCAAGTTCCTTAAAGGTGTGTGTAGACCAGGTGTGAGGAGAACTTGCCAGCCCTCCCAGACATGACCTATGAAGACTTCCTTGGTCTTGGGGTCACAAGGCTGCACGGGACCCTAACTGTGGCCACCCTATGCTTCCTTCTCTGTCCCCGGTCCCCTAGTGATAGGTGCCCAGTACTTTCTGGGGAAAACTCTGACCCCTGCAGCCTCCACTCTCATCCTGGACAAATTAAATCCCTCCTTGGTAGCTTTAAGGCACCTCAAGAGGAAGCTAGAACTCTTTATGTCACTGCCCCTCAAAATGTTATTCTCAGCCCCGTACATCTTCCAGCCTCTTCAGTTCCACGTCGTTCTGATCCTGGAAGTGAACGCTGACAGCCACCGTCTCAACCCAGGCATTGTCCGTGTTTCTCGGATCATCCATGTATCCCTTGTACACCTGGAAGATGGAGCAGAAATGAAGCAGTCTGCAAGGACAGGACCAAACCTGCCCAGCTCACTACCATAGGTCACAGGCCCAGAGGAAGGCCTCTATGTCCCCTCTGCTGTGTCCCACCTCCAGAAGGTGACCCCACACCCAGGCCTGTGCCCTGCAGCCTGCCTTCAGGTGCTCCCTCTCACTGACCCATGGCGAGACCAGCACGTCACAGGACTCTGACTCCTGACCCCTTGGGTGCCCAAGGCCCTCGGAGATCCAACTCTATCCTCAGAGTAGCTGCATAGCAACTCTTTGAGGGGCTCAAAAGAAATGGCAATGTCCCCAAGGCATGCACAGATTAAATTTTATAAAATGCTGAATGTGCTTCTCCTCTCCTTTTCTGCTGACAGCATGCCGAAAGCTCTGGCTTCACCCCTGTCTTTCCAGAGGTCCCTTCCCTCCTCTTTCTTTTTTACTTTAATTCTTTTGCACATTCCACCTTTCACTAGCTATGGTTCTGTCTTATTGCCTTAATAAACTTTTCTCACTTGTTTCCTAAAAAACAAACAAACAAAAAACACCTGCTGAATTTGTAGATAAAAAATGTCAAGTAAAGTCATACTTTAGCCTAATATTCTAATAAGTTGATATCTTAAGAAGTGTCCATTCTGTGTTAAGGAGTGGCATTGCCAACACTAAGGTGTGCAGTTCTGATCCACCCTCTCCATGGGAGAAAGATGGGCAATCTCCTCTTATGTGATTTACAGCCCCAGGAAGGTCGGCTATGAATTGGTTGTGACGCAATGGTACTTAATACAACAAATGTCCACTAGAGGACAGTTCAAATGACTCATGTGCAACCACATTACAAAACACCATAAAGTCATTGAAAAGAACGGAATACACTCAGAAACACTAGCCACTGGGTGAGTGGCTGAGTAAAAAGCAAATTGTGGGAGCACATGTACGGTGGAGTCTATTTTTGTTAAGAGTGTGTGCACATGTCTGCAGGTGGAGAGAGCCCGCACTGAGCTCATAAAGGTGAGGCCAACTGGTGAAGTGGTCTGAGTCACTTCACTACGTGAAGGTGGGGACAGGGGTTGCTCAGTCATGCACTGGAAGAGCGGGTCTGAAGGGGGTCTTCCCTTTACAGTTTGTACATCTGTATTTCTAGATTTGTGATGGGGAAGCATCTATTACTTAAGTAATAAGAAAAACACTCAGCAACATGAAAAAGCTTTTGCAAGAGTACAGGCACGTCTACGGCCATACCACCCTGAACGCACCCGATCTCATCTGATCTCGGAAGCTAAGCAGGGTCGGGCCTGGTTAGTACTTGGATGGGAGACCGCCTGGGAATACCGGGTGGAAAAAAAAAAAGAGTACAGGCACATAGGGTGCACCTAGCCTTCCCCAGGGCCTGGGCCGTGCAGTCTTTTCCAGGCTTGGTGCCCTCTGTGGTCTCCCTGGGAAGAAAGCAGGTTGTAGATCCCACTGGAGTCCTGCAGTGCAGGATCTGGGGCCAGGATACAGGGCAAGAGAAGATGTTGGAGGAAGGGTCTGAACATGGGCTTTCCCCATCCAGACCCTCTCCACATTCCTGCATTCACATCCCAAGGGACTCATTCACACTCATCCTGAAGCCTCAGGTACCCAGCCCACAGCAGCCCCAAGCCCAGCCTGCTTCAGGGATGGAAAGGGAGGCCCAGCTGCAGGGCCCTGCACCCTGGTCCAGGATCTCCTCCTGCCTTGCCTTTGTGGCTGCAGGATGTGGACTTGGACAGGAGTGAGAGCAGAGAAGAGTGATGCTCACCTCTTTCCCCTGTTTCAGCAGGTTTTCGATGGATGACCAGGCCTCCTGCTCCAGGATCTGCTTCAGCTTCTGGGGCAGCATCTGCCCGGGTTCCCGGGAGCCCTAAGCAACAGAGTGGAGGCAAGTCGGCTGTGCTCAGCCCCGCCCAGCCAGTGTCCATCCTGGCTCTCATCCACCCCAGTCACACCCACTACCACTGCACACCACAGGCACCCACCCACCTCCAAGAGCCCAAAGTCTCAGACACAGTGAAATTGTCCATAACCCACTTGTCCAGTTCAGCACTCAAAAACCCTCCCATGGCTTGAGTGAGGGTGCACTGGGCCTTGAGTGCCAGCGGGGACAGCAAAGCACACAGAGTCATACTCTCAGGTTCCCAGAAAAGTGACTCGGGCCCCGCCCCACCACTCCCTCCTCCATCTAACAGGCTGGCTGCTTCAGATTTCCTCCTCAGCCCCTTGCTCTTCCCCTGCCCACAGAGAGCCCATGCCCTTCAGCTCTTTGGTGACTGAAGGCTCAGGACGCCCCTCCTTGCTGGGAGGGGAGTCATGTCTGCTCAAGACAGAGGACCAGACAGGTGACAGCAACTGGGTTCACCCTGACACTCCTCTAGTCCATGCCACCCCTCAAAAGTACCCCAGCCCTCCTATGTGGGTGACAGCCATGGCTCCCCTGGGACTGTAGCAGGGCCCAACCTCCCAGAACAGGTGTGGAGGACATGCCAGCCCTCTGGCTGCATCACAGACTCAGACTGCTCGGCCACCTGGTCCTCAGACCACCCCTGACTTTTTGGTAAAGATCGGTCTCGTGAGCTGTAGAGGCTGACCTGAGAGCACAGAATCAGCAGTTCAGAGTCACTTTGCACAGGAACAATCCAGAACCTCCTGTGGCCTGACTCAGTTGTTCCCACGAGGTCTCTGAAACAGTACTCCAGCCTCCTGTGACCTTACCTGCCCCCATATGTAGGAATGCTCTCCAGGGCTCTGCCTGCGTCCCAACAGTAGGGGAAGAGAAGGTGTATGTCCTGTGCCCAGGACCACCAGAGCATCCTGCCTCTGCTTTTGACCTTAGGATTCGGCCAGGAAATCTCTCCACTGAACATGATATGTAATGGGTGCTTGAAAAGCCAAATCTCTGATGCCAAGTCAATTCTGACTCACAATGGCCTTAAAGAACAGTAGAATATCCCTGTAGTATTTCCAGCGCTGTAATCTTTCCAGAGCAGAGCGACACATCTTTCTCCTGTGGGTTCAGACCTCTGGCCTTTGATTTAGCAGCTGCGCACTTAACTGCCTCATCACCAGGGATCCTTTCCTGGGTGCTTAGTGAGGGTTTGAACTCTGGCAGTGTGTTAGGGGTTGGACTGCTAACTAAAAGATGAGCAGTTTGAATCCACCAACCTTGGAAACCCAGTGGAAGGTCACTATGGCTGGAACTGACTCAGTAGCCATGGGTGGAGAGCAAGTGATGATTCACTGGGGCAGATGTAAAAAGAACTCTGGACTTGTGGTTTCCCGAGTGTGAAGTGAGAAGCTGGAAGGGATAGGTCAGCTCTTCCAGCACTGGCTGTGATTTAGAATTCAGGATGAGGTCATGCACGTCTCAGTGTCCCCACAATGTGCACACTGTCCTGTGGGGGCTCTTCAGCAGAGGGGAGAGGGCCTGAATGCTCTGGTTGGGCATGACAGAGCAGCTGGCTGGCGGGGACTCACCCCTGGGAGTGCCCAGTGCTCAGCCTGCAAGTGCTTCACCACCAGCACCTCGAGCACCTTCCTGATGCTCTTCTTGTGGATGGTCCCATCCTGGTTCCGCCACCACCTGCAAGCGAGAAAGAGAAAGACTCACCCCTTCCTGCATGGCATCTCTGATGGCACCTCCACCCCGATCCTGTGCCAGCCCACTCCTCACCTGCACCTGCACCCTGCCTTCGTGTGTGTGTGTGTGTGTGTGTGTGTGTGTGTGTGTTATCCGTTACTAGCTCAACCCTTCTTTTCAGAACCCCATCTCTGGGAAAGGGCTCTGATAACACCACATAGGCAATGTCCCCCCTCACTCCTCTAAACTGCTGGTGGGACTAGAAAAAGTTGTGGGGTTTTTTGGAGGATTTGTTTTGTTTTGTTCTAGTGAATGAAAGATCATGCACTGTGGGTACTGCGATTAATTATACAGGACAAAGTACGCATGATTGACTTTTTTTTAAAAAGCTAGGGAGAGGTTTACACACTGGTAGAATCAATCTTGGAGAGTTAATGGGAATGAAAAAGGAGTAAGAAGGGAGTGAGAACAAGCTGAGTGAAGGGAAAGGCAATGTACAATGAGGGAATGAGCAGACATTGTCATTAATTGCATTAATCAATTGTTATTAATGATCTAAAACAAAATATATTAATATATAAAATATATTAATGATTGCATGAAATCCTATTGAAAAAATGAAAAGTCTTAGAGAAGTATGTACCTGCTGACCTACTATCCAACTTGTACCTCTCTGTGAAATGGCTAGTGTGAGCCCCCACCACAGTACAGCCCGGGCCGGCAAAAGGCCTCAGCGCTGCTGTGTGGGTGGAGACAAAATCTGTACCCCGTGGAGAGATGCAAGGGAATTGAGTGTGTGTGTGTGTGTGTGTGTGTGTGTGTGTGTGTGTGCATGCGCACACATGTGCGTGTGCACACAGGTGGATGTACAGATACGTATCTGTGCATGGATGTGTATGCATTGCGGATGTGTGTGTGTGTAGATGGGTGGAAATGTATAAATGCTTGTGTGCTTATGTGAACGTGTGTGCATATCTGTTATTGTTGCTCTTGTTATGTGCAACTCATAGGACCCTCTGTGTACAAAATCTCTGAAGCCTGCCCTGGCTTGAGCTAGTCTCACTGACTCCGACACACTTACCCCCAGTACCCCTCTCCTGTGTTATCCCTCTGCCTTTAGGTGTGTACATATAGCTGGATGTATATATACGTGGGTATGGATGAGTACATGTATGCGGGCGGTGTCTATATATGAATATTGATATACAGATGTCGATGATATAGCTATATAGATTGTTGTGTGCTACCAAGTCAAAACCGACTCACAGCTGACCCTCCAGTGGACTTTCAGAGGCTATAAATTGCACGGAGAGAAACTGCCTAGTTAGTGGATTTGAATCACTTGTATTTGGATTGGCAGCTCAACTCTTCACCTACAAGGTCACCAGAGGTGTGTGTGTACACATATACAGGCTTGTATATATGTGGATATGAATGTGTGTGGAGGTGTGTGTGTGTGTGCCTCTTGGAAGAATAAATTCTGAAATATTAACACTGCTGGACAGTGGGATGACATACATTTTAATTTTTTTTCCAATTTTCTGTTGCTTTTTCTTTGGTCTTGAGTCCTGATCATGGCTTCCTATCACCTTTAATAAGGGTCAGGAGAGTGACCTGGGCTTTCTCCTAGGCAGCCGGGGCCCTGGATACCCCCACCTATGTCTGAATTCACCCACTGACTTACCCCACAAATACGTGCCTGAGAGATGAACACAACACACAAATTGCCCTCTCAGTACCCACTAGAGAGCCCAGGAGGAGGTCTGGGTGATGTCTGGTGCCACTTGTCTGGAACTCACCGAGTAAAGACGGGGTGCAGGGCATGGTTGGGTCCAAAGTATCTGAGGCTCCCACGCCCACGTAGTCCTGTTCGGCCCATGGGGTTCCTAGGTAGAAAAGGGTTCTCTCAGTCAGCCCCCACTGAGAGGGGGAGAACAGGCAGTGAAGAGGACAGGACAGAGGGGATAATGGGTTCCAGGGGGGCTACAGTTGGGGAAGATCAGAGTGTTGTGCTCCATAAATGCAGTAAAATGAGAACAGATGTGTGTTCCTCGAGTGCAGAGCGGGCTGCCCGAGGGGTGCAATCAGTCAGCCATTTCCTAGCAAAAAAGTCATTGTAGTTCACAAATTAGACGATTCACGCTGGCGGGGAAAGCAGAGAGGAGGTGCTGCCCTAGACCCAGGAGAGAGGATGGGCCTCCAGGTTCTGGTAGGTGGTGGGCTGCAGAGAACTTCTCAATTTCAACCATCAATGTGATGCAGACGACACTCTGACATACACACAGTAGACAGGAAAGCGACAACAATAAAATGGCTTAAATGTTTAGGAACACGTTTACACCATCTGGAAGCTTAAAAGAATAGAATGAAATTTAGAAACTGAAATATGAAAGCCCTATATGTCACAGTCGGAGGAATTCAACCAATAAAGCCTTAGAAAGAAATTTTTATACTTTTATATATTATAATTCTAAATTCATACTTTTAATCGAAAACCAGAAAGATGGGAAAGAAACTAGCTGGAACATTCAAATCAATAGGAAACAACAAAGAGCATGAAAAGAGGATGGTAATAATTAAGCAAGATTTGATGAGACAGGAACAAAATGAAAACAACTGACAAAATAAAAATTTAATTATTTGAAAAATATCATAAAATTAACCTCTTGATGGTACAAACATTCTGGAAGGCAGTTTGGCGCTTCCACAAAAAGCTGAACATGGAAATTCCATATAACCCAGCTATTCTTCCATTGCTTGGAATATACCCTGTGAAAATGAGAACTGAGACTCAGCGGAGATTTGTACAGCAGTGATCACAGCAGCATTATTCACCATCGCAAGAACTTGGAAACAATCCAGATTTCAAACCACAAATGAATGGATTGAGAAATTATGGTACATTCACACAATGGAATACTATGCAGAAGCAATGATTTTGTAAATTAATTAGCCAACTTGGGAAGGACTGGAGAGCATTATGCTGAGTGAACTAACTCAGTCCCACAAGGACAAATACTGTATAAAATCATTATTGTAGAACGAGTATGAGGATCCAAAGGGGGGGGTGGAAAGCAGAGGGATGAAGATGTGCAGGTGGAGAAGGGATTAATCTTGGAGTTGTACAATACGATGGGGGGAAGGACAGAAATTGGAAGAATCTGTTTTCAAAATCAGTGTATTTGAATTTTGTAAATAAACTATTATTTTGAAAAGTTAACCTCTAAGGAGAGTAAACAAGGAAAATAGGAGATAAATCTTAGGCCTCAAAAGAAGAAAGCTACTGGATATTTACATAAGAGACTTTTATATTTTTAAAGCATGAGCAACTATATAATACAATCAGAAAATCTAGATCAAATGGATTATTTTCTAGAAAAAAAACGACAATCACCACAAAGGGCCTAAGAAAAAAACAGAAAACTTGATTTCACAATGTCATATGAAGTAGTTAAAAATTAAGACCAAATGTTTTCTACGTATTATCAAGCTTTCAAAGAACATAAGATCTTTATCTCACTCAAGTTATTCCAAGGAAGAGAACATACTCAACTTGTTCTGTGAGGCTGGTATTAAACCCAAATAAATACATTACAAGGAAACACGTTGGACAATGACCAAGGAAGATAGAAGGAGAATTGATGCCTTTGAGCTGTGGTGCTGGAGAAGAGTATTGAGAATACCATGGACTGCTAGGAAAACAAACAGATTTGTCCTGGAAAGGGTTAAACCAGGTGGCTCCTTGGAGGCAAGGATTCTGAGGCTCCGTCTAACATACTTTAGACATATTGTGAGGAGAGACCAGTCCTTAGAGAGGGACATCATGCTTGGGAGGGTGGAGGGACAGCGCAGGAGAGGAAGGCCCTCTATGAGGTGGACTGATTCAGTGACTGGGATAATTGGGATGGGAGTGTCGGAGACAGTGCGATTGGCACAGGACAGAGCGGAGTTTAGGGTCGCTATGAGTCGCAGGCGACTCGACGGCACATAACAACAACAACAACAACAAGGAAACACAAATTATAAGCAAATTTGGCTCTTGCGCATAGATATATAATTCCCAAAAAAAGCAGTAAACTACCTTCAACAACATAATCCATACAACAGAATGATTTAGCCCAGGAATGCAAAAATGATTCAAGATTAGAGAATCTAAAATGGAACTTACACAATGTTATGGATTAAATTATGTGACCCACCAAAAGATGTTGTTGTTAGGTGTCATTAAATTGAGCACAACATATAACAACCCTATTAACACATCTGAACCCTGTCCTGTCCTGGGCCATCCTCACAATCTCTGACACACTCAAGCTCATTGCTGCAGACACTGTGTCAATTCACCTGCTTGAGGGTCTTCCTTTTCTTCGCTGTCCCTTCACCTTTCTAAGAAGGATCTCCCTTTCTACGGAATAGTCTCTCCTAGCAACATGTCTAAAGTACATGAGATGAAATTTTATCATCTTTGCCTCCCAGGAGCACTCTTGAATACGTTAAAATAATCTTGAGATTATATCATACAATTATCTCAACTGGTAGCAGAGAAAGCATTTGCCGATGTTTTATCAGTAGGCAAGATAAAAACTCACAGCAAACTGAGAACAGTAAAGAATATTCTTACCCTGATAAAAGGCACATATTTAAAAATTTAGCAAATATCATACTTAATGGAGAAACTTTGAAAGCATTCCCAGTAAGTCAGAAGTAAAACCATTTCAGTTCTTTTTCCAATTACAAAATGGGCAAAATACATGGAGAGACTTTTTATAGAGAAAGACATTCAGATGGCAAATAGACACAATGGAGAAATGCTCAAAATCACTGGCAATAAGAGAGATGCAAATCAAAACCACAGTGAGGTACCATCTTTCCCCAAGTGGCAAAGTTTAGAAGAGCAGCACATAATAAATGTTGGAAAGAAATGTGGAGAGGTGGAGACTCTCATACACTGTTGGTAGGATTGTAAAATGGTACAAACAAACACTCTGGAAGGCTGTTTGACATTTCCTCAAAAAGCTGAACATAGAAACTCGATCAGACTCACTAATAGGAATATGTTGTTGTTGTTGTTATTGCTGTGTGCTGTAGAGTCAGAACCGACCCATAGCTGACCCCCTGGCAGGTTTTCAGAGACAGTTAATCTTATGAGAGGAGATTTCCCGTCTTTCTTCCGTGGAGCAGCTGGTGGCCTTGAACTGCATGCCTTCAGGATTGCAGTGTAGCTTCTTGCCACTAGGCCATTCAGAGCTCCCTAATAGGAATGTACCCCAAGGAAATTAGAACTGAGACACAAAAGGAGATCTGTACACCAATGTTCATAGCTGCACTATTCACCATTGCAAGAACATGGCAACAGCCCAAATGTCCAATCACAACTGAATAGATTGAGAAATTGTGGTACATTCACACAAATATTCACACTATACAGCATTTAGGAGCAAAGATATTGAAAAATACTACATAACTTGGGAGAGATTGGAAAGCATTAAGCTGAGTGAACTTAGTCTCATAAGGACAAATACTGCATAAGACTATTATTGTAAAAATAGATGGATAACTAGTAAAACATGTATGGGGATCCAAGTGGTGAAGGGGTAGGAATAGAGGTTTGAGGATGAGTAGGGGCAAAATCACAGGGTTGCTTAACTTGGTGGGTGGAGGGAGGTGGTAGAGGAAATGGAAAAGACCTGGCAGGGACTTGAAAAGACAGGGTAATTGTGGGCATAGTCCAATAGTGACTAATTTTATAAAACATAATGAGTGGGAATAATTGTATGAAACACAATGTAAATGAAGAATGGTGTGAAACACAATGTATATGAACATTGCAAGCAAAGCAACATAAAATAAAAATATCTTTAAAAAATAAATCACAAAAACCTACAAATATTATCAATATTCAATGTTTCATAACAAGGCAAGAAAAAGGAATAAGACCTAATGATTGCAAATGGAAAGACAAAATTGTCATCTTCAGATTATATGATCATTGAAAAATTAAAAAAATGTGCAAACATGGGAATTATTAGTAAAGTTTCTGGATAAAAGTGGTCCATTTCGTACATTCTTTAAAAAATTGAAAATAGAGTAGAAAAAAATAATTAATATTCAATAATATTGAATTAATAATATTGAATCAATAATATTCAATTAATATTGAAATTATCTAGGAATAAATATTTTTTAAGAAGAAAAGGATCTTTGGGAAGAAAATGATAAAACTTTAAAAAAGGATAAAGACAAGACCCAAATAAAAGATATTAAGCATGTAGATAGAAAATACATTACTTTGAAAATGTCCATTCTTCCCAAATTTTTCCTAAGATTCAACAAAATGCCAGTCTAGATCTCAAAAGGACTTGTCACAGAAAGAGACAACTTGATTTTTCAAATCAGAAATACTAATGGTCAAGACTAGGAAAAATAAGGTTGATGGCATGTCTAAAGAAGAATCAAGATTCAAGGCAAAACCATGACAAAGTGTGTGGTCCTGTAGAGAGAGGAGCGGAACTGAATGGAGCACTGAGACAGACATGAATGCACTGAGGGCTGCAGGGTGCCGCAGGGGAGGAGCCAGGCCTCAGGGGGCAGGGGCTCCAGTATTAGAATCACTTCTTTCTTATTTGGAGACATGAATTAAAAGTATACCCTTCTTCACATCTTACACAGGCAACTTTCAGATACAGTTAAGGACCCACATTTAAAAAAACAAAAAATAACACACACATTAAAAAAAACAAACACAAAAAACAACAAAACTCCAGTTTGATTACAAAAAAATAGAAAGATGTGTCTGTGATTTTACAGTAAGAAGATACATCTAAGAAGATAATAAAATTCATAAACTATATAAAAATGGTGGCCATATAAAACCTTCCTGTACGTTATTAAAATCCAACTGGTCCTTCTTCCTATCCTGCATCTCTCACACCGGCCGTTCCCCCTGAAGTCGGTCAGAGCACAATGTCACCCCCTCGTCACTCCTACCCGGCCTCCTGCACTGGGAATCTACAGGTGTCTCTTCCTAAACTCTTTCTACATAATTCTTTAGACTTCAATCTTGATTAACCTTTTGGGATTTCTTCCTAAATGCCACTTTGTCCTAGCTACTTCACCCATGGCATCTTCTCCAGAGCTAAAATCTGGGACTCAAGCCATCCCGGGACAGGTTTTTATTTTCACTCCCACATCCCTATCATCTCCTTACACACGAGGGCTTCCTGATGCAGAGTATCTCCCAGAACACCCACTCACTGCTCTCAGCTCCGTCCTGCTCCAGGCCGACACACACCACACCAATAATCCTCCTCTGACCTCGGATGGCCCTTCCACCAGACCTGGTGCCAAGTTCTTCAGTTTTCTGCATGTTCCTCCTTACAGGGAAATGTCCCTTGTGCCGCTGAACCCTCGAATCTGGCATATATGTAGGGGTTCAACAAATGTCCATTGGGTTTGAATTCTACAAGCCACTAATCCCTTCATGCTTGATTCGCCATCCCTGTAAAATGGGGTGCAATGTCAGTCTGAATGAGTAAGATGACAATGAGGATATGAGTGTCACTTGAAAGTAGCATTAACTGTCTCTCCTCCGGGACTACCCTTCACCTGCTGTCATTCTCTTAGAAAATGTGCTGGTGCCATTTCCTAGAAAATAGAGTCGGCGGACACAATCATTCCCATATTACCGCTGCTGGATTAAAAATCCCAGAAGGTTAATCAAGACTGAAGGACAAAGCATGGCCCAAGGTCCAGCTGGAACATCCACTGCCCTCCAATCACCCCTCCCTTTGCTGGAGAGAATGGAAAGAGGGCCCATGGAAAGGATGCTGAACAAATGCTTCAAGTGGTCATTAGAAACTGGACCCCAAGAGTGAAACCCGAAGACAAGGCCTACTGAGGACTGGACTCAGGGGACCCAGTGATCGCAGGGCAGCTGCACTCACAGAGGGAAGTTGTCACGGACTTGATAGAGACCATGGAAACTCCTTCGGTCCACCAGCCCATCCTCAGCGTTGTATTTGATCTTGGACAGCAGCTCCAGGCAGCTGGAAATGAGAGAAGACAGACACTGACCAGCAGATCCTAAGCACTGGTATTGTGAGCACAGGTGGGGGCGGCCCAGTGGAGGAACCACAGGCTGACCCTGAGCCTCCTGGGCCCTGCCCTCAGTGTGGGGCCTCAGGACCACAGGTGGCGTGTGGAAAGGCCTGCTGTTTATTCATTCACCACCCCCTTAGCGAGTCCACATCCCAGCCCAGGGAAGGACCGGCAGCCCAACCTAGGAGTGCAGCTGACCACTTCAAGCAGAGCAGGATTGCCAGTGAGGCTTCCAAGTGAGGACCTTTCACTCTTCCCGTCCCATGCCATCCCAAGACAGGGCTGGGGAACGGGGGCAGGGTGAGAGCCAACTGTTCCTCATCCCACCTCATTACAAAGCAAGGGAGGATGACCCACTCTCACCTTCCCACGGGGTCCACGACGGCCGTGTCCTTCCTCTCAGCCGTGTAGAAAGGTGGGTTATAGATCGCAAACTCTGTCTGCAGTAAAACAGGGTAGTTCCTTCTCAGCTTTTCAGCCGCCACCCAAAACTCAGGCTGGATTTCCAGGATGGGCCAGAGGGCAACTCCTCCCCTCAAAGGGGTCACCTGAGGCCAGTTCCTCAAGTGCGCACACACACACTCACTCACTCACTCTGAGCAAGGGCAGGGTGGGGACAGCAGCAGCATTACAAGCCACATACAGTGCACGGGGTGCTGTCAGCCAGGGCTGTTCTCTAAGCTGAGCTGCACAGGTAAGAACGGGGCCAGTTCAGTAGAGAGGATACTGAGGAGAAGGGCATTGAGGTACAAGAGCAAAGTTATCACTGGAAAAGCCAGAAAGACCCTTGGATGGGGAGGCAGTATCCATCCCTGCCTTGGCTCGCCTGACACATGGGAGGGGGGATCAGAGTATTCACTAGATGGTGGGATCTAGGTTAGGCAGGGTAAGGCAGCTAGACATAGGGCAGGTCCTAGGGCGGCTCTGGGCTGCAGGGGGAAAGGGGAGGATGGGTCTGCTTGTGTGTGGTCCCTGGGCTTAAACCACCGCCCTCCGTGTGTGGTCTCAGTTTCCTCATCCATCACACAAGGACTGCCATCATCCCCTCACATCAGTGTCGTGACAGGGACATAGAAGACAAAGCCATAGCCAGGACACACTCATTAAACCTTCATATCATTTAGGGGGAGACACCCTGAGCCCCACCCCCCAGGAGAGCACTCACCTCCCAGGGCACCTTCTCGTCGGGCACGGCAAAGCGTGTGTCCGGGCAGCTAGGGTACCGGAGGTGGCGGGCACTCACATGGTACAGGCTGTCCCCATCCTCCACCTTCTGCCCGTCACCCAGCCCTTCATCCTGCTCCTCGGTGGCCTTCTGGGGTGCTGGGGACAATGCCACAAAGTCTAAGCAAGGCCCTGCTTACAGAGCAGGCGCACTTCCTGTGGTCGCCCCCACAGGCTCTAACTGCAAGCAGTGCTAATGCAGGCCCCCAAATCTCTTAGTGGTCTTCCTGCTGCAGCTCTCAATTTGCCTGCAGTCCCTCAGCTGCGGGGTCAGAGACAGATTTCTCCTAGCCTCTTGCATAGTGGCCACAAATAAAGGTTCCCATCATTAGAGTTTGCAGGTGGCAAATGGGCCAGTGACACCAAGAGGTCGCTTATGTCAAGGACATTGATTCCTGATGCTCCATGACTCTGTTGGTCCCGGCCCTCTCCAGAGATGCCCCTTCTTGGCAGTGTGTTGACTGAGCAGGACAGGGGTAGGAGGCCATCCTGAGCCTAGGTGTTAGGCTGGCATCTGGAGGTTCGGCTCAAGACCCTAAGGGGCAAGTCTAGGGCATCCCTGCCAGGCTCAGGAAACAGGTGCCAGGATGGACAAGCAGCCTTGCATCACCTCTCCCTCAACAGACTCCAGACTGCAAAGCACTGTGGCCCAGGCCACCCCTCCACTCCCGCCACCTCACCTGGAGCTGGGACATCTGCCTCTGAGCCAAAGCCACCATCCCGTAAAGCCCTCACGATCCAGTGCAGGGCTTTAGACGTCTGGCCCATCTAGAAAGTACCCACCAAAGATTTAGTGAATGCCAGCGACAATGCCAGCCCATCCCCATTCAAACTCCTGCTCCACCTGCTGAGGCCGGTGGTCCCTAACTCCTCAACAAACCTCAAATCACCACTGAGCATCACCCTGTCTCCCCAACGAGGCTCGCTGGTAACCGACACGCCATGTGGGGCCCTGCACGCTCACAAGATGCAGACTACCGCCAGGACTAGGCACACTGAGGGTGCATTAGCATATGGGCTGTGCTCTCTGGCCCCGGCAAGACTCCTCAAACTTGTAGAACTCCTACTGCTGTGCCAACCCTGCTCCCTGTACTGAAACAATGTGAATTTATGTTTGTCGTCATTGAGGGTGACACTGACATCTTCACCTGGGCATGCAGAGGTCAGCTCTGGATAGATGCAGGTAGGAAGTTTTGGTTCACAGCAGCCTGAGGCACCTGGGCACTCCCTGGCCAGGCTGTAAGGAGACTACCTGCCCCAGTCCTAGGGGTTGGGTGCTGGCTTGTGGGTCTACTGGCAGGTGAGCCAGCAATGGGCACTGATGGAGGGAGAGGATGTCCCAGAAGTAAAAGCAGGGCCAAATGGGACAATAGTTGGGGATGGACTCCTGCCCTCACCCCCATGGTAACAAGAGAAAAGCCAAGAGCATAGGCAATGGTCTGTCCCACCCAGGACTCCACTGGCATCAATGTCCAACTAGAGCCTCAGATGGGTCAATCCTCAGCCATCAGGCCCTTCACTCAGTGTCCACATCTTTCCTCACTCACAGAGCACCTTCGGGTTGAGCATACAATTGCCCCAAAGGTCAGGGGACCCTACCTCCCAGTCAGAGCTGCCCCCACCCACCAGGACAGCACCCCTTTTTCTTGGCCCAATTGGTGATTGTCTTCAGCATCTCCTTTTAACCAGCTCCCTTCACACTCAAGTTCCACGCCTGTGACTGAGCATGTGCACCAATCAGGTGAGGAGTGTCAGTAAGCCCACACTCTCTGTACTGGAATTCTCAGCCCAATAGTCCACTCGGAAGTACTTCATCCCCACGGCACTCCCTACCGCTTTCCCTGCGGAAGCTCAGAGAGGGCACTACTGAAGTGTTGACGTTCTCCCTGTCCAAGTGAGTCAAGGGGCAGCCTTACACTCCTGCAGCAGCACTAACTCAGACCCTCAGTCTCCTCAGTGGACAGCAGGAAGGGATGGGACTCAGCGAGTGGCCTGTCCCCTCACCCGGTAAATCTGTTGCATCAAGTCTTCTATGATTCATAGTGCCCCACATGTGTCAGAGCAGAACCATGCTCCACTAGTCTTTCAATGATTGATTTTTTTTTTTTAAGGTAGATTACCATGTCTTTCTTCCAAGGTGCCTCTGTGTGGAGTTGAATTGCTAAACTTTCAGTTAAAAGTCAAGCACATTAAACATTTGCACCATCTGAAGACTACTTCAGACCCAGCTAGGAGCATCTATTTTTAATGTGCTGGAGCTCAATTTAGGAGACTGTGGGTAGAAATCTGGAGAACAAAAATGGTACCTCTTCCCAGGGGGGAAATTATGTTGAAGTCAAGCCCTCTTTTCTCTGCTGTGTGCCCAGGGCATTCATTCTTGATACCACCACACAACCCTGCCCATAAGCAGAGAGCCCACACCTCGAACCCACCTGCTCTTCCAAGGAAGCTAGTCTTTGCTCCATGGATCCTGACCTCTTCATCCGGTCCACGTCCAGCAGCTCCATCATGGTGTCCATCCTGGAGGATATCACAGTCGAGGTCATCAAAGGCAGGCTGAGTGTCCCTTACACTTTGATGAAACACACCACCAGTCTGCAGATGGTCTGGTCCATTCTAGAGACCCGGCTCTGGACCAACTCTGGTCCAGTCATCATCTTCATATCAAAATTATTTATAATGAATGCTTCAGGACAGGGGTAGGAGGCCAGCTATAGAGTACATGGCCTATCAACCCAAATAGAGAACTCTAAAAATTCGTTATCCAGGATTCTACAGGCCTTTTCATGGATAATTGCAGCCAATTCTCACTAGTCAAGGGAATTTTGGTGGCCTAGTCTACATAGAGTTGTGCTGCTAATTCGAAAGCTACATCTCCTTGGAGGTTTGAATTCACCAGCAGCTCAAAGACAGAAAGATAGGAAATCTCCTCCCATGTGTTTATAGCCTTAAAAACCCTTGGAAGAACAGCTATGAGTAAGTTCCAATTCAACTGCAATGAGTTGGGGTTTTTGTTCTTGTTAGATGGTGACTCTATGAACAGCAGAACTGAACCTAATCCTATCTTGTGCCATCTTCACACTTCCTAACACACTGGAGCCCATTTCAGCAGTCACCATGTCAATCCACCTGGTTGAGTTCTTCCTCTCCTTTGCCGACCCTCCACCCTTCCCAGAATCATGTTCCTCTCCAAAGAAAAGCATCTCCTAGTAACATGTCCAATATATGTGAGGCAAAGCCTCATCATCCTTGCCTCCAAAGAGTACTCCTGCTGCACACCAAGACATATTTATTTATTCTCCTGGCCATCCACAGGATGTTCAATGCTCTTCTCCAACATCACAACTCAAAGATGTCAAGTCTTTTTCTGTCATTCTTATTCACTGTGCAGCTCTCAGTTGCATAGCAAGTGATCAGAAAGACTATGGCCTGAGTCAGATGCACCTTAGTCCTCAAGTTGACATCCTTACTCTTCAATAATTTGGAGAAGTCTCTAACTGCAGACTTTCCCAATGCCATATGTTTCCTGATTTCCTGATTGCTCATACAAGTTGGGGTTTATTTTTAGTTTTCTAATTATTCACAGTTGTTGTTGTTATGTACTATTGAGTTGGAATCAACCCACACAGCTCACTCAATGGTGGGTTTTCAGAGGCAGTAAATCACATGGGAGGATATTGCCCATCCTCCTACTGAGCAGCTGATGGATTCAAACCACTTACCTTTGTGTTGGTAGTGCAATTTGTTACCATGAAGCCACCAAAGCGCGATTCATGGTAGTTATGTTCTAGAACAACCATTTGTCTATCAGTTTATCATAATGTAGTGGCTTATTTGTGACCATGATTTTGCCACTCATGTTTAAAACACCAACAGAGTCACTCATAGTTGGTAGGTTCAGCACAGCATTCACACTAACACAGACTAGGAAGAAAGGGCTGATGATCTACTTTTGGAAATTAGCCATTTAAAGTCATTTATGAATCACAATAAAACATTGTCTAATATAGTGCTGCAAGATGAACCCTGAGTTGGAAGACATCCAAATTACATAGCTGCTGAAACAATGGACTGACATATACCAATGATCACAAAGGTGGCGCAGAAACAGGCAGTGTATAGTTCTGTTACAAATGAGTCAGAACTGACAACACATTCTATAAAGTCACCACAAACAAAATTATAGAATACGGAAGCACTTCTCCAAGAGAAATACAGGCTGAGATTCCTGCAAGTCTCCAGTTACATCAACTGATCAATACAGAATGCCACCATATGTGTGTTTCTATTTATGTCACCTTATGTAACACTTGCTACTTATTAGCATTGAGGTCATGGCTAACAGCACCATCAATTGTGCCTAGAGAAAGCAGACCTAACACACATGTTTTCTTAATAGCAACTCAAGATAGCTCTTCAGCACTACACCTAGGAGCTGTTTTAAAATGTGAAATCACCAACAAAAAGCACAAGCATGCTAAGTGGGATAAAAGGCACTAAACAGACCACGAGAAGGACGATTGTTCGCAGTATGAGAGCTGAAACAGGCAAGCCACCTACTGCCTTGTTCCAGCTCAGCTGCTGCACTCATGAATGATGGTGAGAGAAGTCCCACATGGGGTCCCATATAAATTTTAGCAAACAGGTGACTTGCAGACATGGAATCCTTAAACAATGAGAAGCATCTGTATCTGGAGTGTCTGCGTAGTCCCACTCTCACAACTATCAGATGCAGGTGTGTGAAAAGCCTAGTGCACCTGGATTTGCCCTGAGGCCGCTACACCAGCAGCTTCAGGATCTAAGGCACAATAACAAAGGCACGCCCGGGTACCGCTGGGTTCTGGCTTTTAATTTTTGTTTTTTGAAGGGGTAAGCTGCTGTTATTATTTTAGAAATGTCTCCTTACTCTGTTTTTATCTTGCTGAAATACACCGGGGTGCTCTGGTGGCCTAGTCAGTGGGGAGTTGTGGGGCGACACCTCTAGAGGTCTGCATACCAGCTGCTCCTCAGATGGGCAATCTTCTCAAAAGCAACTTAGAGCCTCAGCAGCACGATGGAAGGCCGGCTACGAGCCGCTTCCAACTTGATGGAAATGAGTTTAGAATTAAAAAAAAAAGTCATGGGAATTTCACTCAACTTTGGGTTACTGTAACATAATTAGGTGACCAACTTTTCCTCAAATCTCCCTTGTCTGCTTTAGCCCAAGGTTTCTTCTGTTTCCTTTTCCTACAGACTCATCTTTCAGTAATATTCTTTGATTACAAAGCCAACAACCATCTTAGTAACCAGAGAATGTTGGATTAGGGACGTGACCCACTTTGAATGGTTATTAGGAAGAAAGGGAAGATACTAATTTAAGTAAGCGCACTCAGGACTTGACCTCTGCCCAGCTTACATACTGCTCAAATGTCATAAAGCCATTTATTGCCCCCTTGTTTCCCAACCAACCTTGCAAAGATGCTGCAGTGGCTGTTAGGAATAAAGTGATGGAGTCCATTTGGGCCCCTGTGAGTTCACACAATATAACGCAGGAACCCTCCAAGTTTGCAGATAGTGATTATCAGCAAATTCAACCTGACAAACCCCAAACCTGAGCAGCATGCTCATTGGGATCTCACAGAATGGCAGAGCTCTCCCTGGCACTGGAGCCAGCACCAGCTTAGCCACAATGCAGAGTGATGGTGTCACCTGACGCCGCCACCATGCTCCCCTCCCCAGCCGCCACCATGCTCCCCTCCCCAGGACAGAGACTTCTCAACAGATCCAAGGACAGCAGGGCTTCGGTAATGACAATGGTGCTCTTTCACCATTTCTCTATTACTCCATCCTTGAAAGGGAGATTTGGTGGCCTAGTGGGTTTAGAGTTGCACTGCCACCCAAAGACATGTGGTTGGAATCCACCAGCTGCTCTGTGGAAGAAAGATGGGCAATCTCCTCCTGTGTGATTTACAGCCTCTTCAAAACTACTGGAGTGATCAGCTATGAGTCAGTTCCAACCTGGTGGCTTGTAACAAAACCAACAACTCTAGAAAGGGTTCTATCACAATACATAAATTGTTGCTAAGTAAAGATATTTTTGCATATATAGATATGTTGTTGTTGTTGTTGTTATGTGCCGTCGAGTCTCTTGCAACTCATAGCAACCCTATGTACAACAGCCCTAAACTCTGCTCTGTCTTGTGCCAATTGCACTGTCTCCAACACACCCATCCGAATTACCCCAGTCATTGAATCAATCCACCTCATAGAGGGCCTTCCCCTCCTCCGCTTCCCTCCACTCTACCCAGCATGATGTCCCTCTCTAAGGACTGGTCCCTCCTTACAACAAGTCCAAAGTATGTTAGACAGAGCCTCAGAATCCTTGCCTCCAAGGAGCAGCCTTGTTTAACCCTCTCCAGAATTAAGCTGTTTGTTTTCTTAGCAGTCCATGGTATATTCAGTACTCTTCTCCAGCACCACAGCTCAAAGACATCAATTCTCCTTATATCCACCCTAGACATATCCAACTCTCTGATGCATAACAAGTGATTGCAAAGACCATGGTCTGTGTCAGATGCACCTTAGTCTCCAGGGAGAAACCATTGCTCTTCAGTACTTTAGAGAAGTCCCTAACAGCCAACTTTCCCATCGCAATATGTCTTTTAATGTCCTGGATGCTGGTGCCAAGAGTGATGACTGTGGAGCCAAGCAAACTAAAGCTGTGAACAATCCCAATCTCTTCACCATCCATCCTGATGCTGCCAATTGGTCCAGTGGTGAAGATCTTTGTCTTCTTGGTATTGAGCCTCAATCCATATTAAAGGTTCAAGTCCTTGACCCTCTAAAGCAAGTGCTTCAGGTCCTCCTCAGTTTCAGCAAGCAGGGTTGTATCATCTGCATAACGCAGACTGTTGACAGATCTTACACCAATCCTGATGCCACAATTCTCCTCATAGAGCCCAGCCTCTCACATAATCTGTTCTGTGTACAGGTTGAAAAGGTATGGAGATAGGACACATCCCTGGCGTACGCCCTTCCCAATTTTGAACTATGCAGTGTTTCCTTGCTCTGTTCTAACGACTGCCTCTTGGTCCAAATATAGATTTTGCATTAGCACGATCAAGTGTTCTGGGAATTCCCATTCTTCTCAGAGTCAGCCACAAGGATCCACACAGTCAAACGCCTTTGCATAATCAATGAAATACAGATATACATTCTTCTGGTATTCCCTGCTTTCAGCTAATATCCATCTAACATCAGCTACAATATCCGTAGTACCATGACACCTTCTAAACCCAGCCTGGACTTCTGGCAGTTCTCTGCTGATGTGCTGTTCCAGTCATTTTTGGATAATCTTCAGTAGAATCTTGCTTGCATGTGAAATCAATGATATTGTTCTATAGTTTCCACACTCTGTTGGGTCACCCTTCTTTGGGATGGGAACAAATATAGTCAGTTGGCCAGGTGGTTGTTCTCCAGATTTCTTGGCACAACCTGATGAGCACATCCAGGGCATACTTCAATTGGTATACCATCTATTCCTGGGACCTTATTTTTTGCTCTTTCCTTCAAAGCAGCTTGAACTTCTTTCTTCATCACCATAGGCTCTTGCTCATATGTTGTTTCATTAAATTCTTCTGTGTCTGCCAATTCCTTTCCATACAGTGACTCAGTATATTCTTTCCATCTACTTTTAATACTTCCTGGATCATTTAATATTCTAAGCATCGTTGATGATTGCAATTCGAGGTTTGAATTTATTCTTCAGTTCCTTGAGCTTAAGAAATGCTGAGCGAGTTTAATCCTTCTGATTTTCGGACTCCAGCTCCTTACACATTTCATTGTAATATTTTACTTTGTCATCCTGTGCTGCCTTTTAGAATCTTCTGTTCAGTTCTTTAGTATCTTGAATTCTTCTGTCTGCTTTGACTTCTCTGCACTCCAGTGCAATATTCAAAGTTTCTTCCGACATTCATTTTGGTCTTTTCTTCCTCTTCTGTCTTTGTAATGATCTTTTGGATTCTTCCTGGATGATACCCTTGATATCCTCCCACAACTCATTTGGTCTTCACTCATTAGTGTTCAAAGCCTCAAACCTGTTCCTGAGATGGTTTTGTGTAAAGCAAAATTTCTAACCAGCAAGAGGGATATATTAGCATGCCAGTTAGATACAGTCCAGTGAAGAAACACTCCATATGCTCAACTGTAAAAAATTTGCATTTTAATGAAGAATTTTATTTTCTAGAAATGTGAGGAGCCCAGCAGCTTCCCTGAGCACCAGGCTGAGAACACAGCTGCAGACCAATCTTGTAGCTCCTGCTCACCTCCAGCTCCTGGCCTGCTGGTGGTCCCACTGGGCAATCAGTGACATTAGGGGCTGATGCATTAGGGCTCAGGCTAGGATCCTTAATGCAGGAGAATACAAGGTCACCAAGACATGTATTCAAATCCAGGGAGCAAGGAACACAGGGCTATCAAATTTTCTAACTCTCCTTGGCCTTCATTTCATCACTGGTAAAAAATGGAACTTACAATTCCTACCTTTCAAGGGTAAAAAAGTAGATTAGTGGCAAGATACAGATAACATGCTTAATACACAGGAAGCTTTTAGCAAGCTGTAGTCATGAAGGTTCTTACCCTTATTATAGTGGCCATCCATAATCACAGCCCCCTGGTCCAGGTCTGCATTAATGAGTGACTTGATATGCAAATCTCCAGCATGCACACCTGAGACCACCTTCCTAAGATACTCTGGAGCAGTCCTCCCCTAGCATTTGACCTCTACATGACCACTACTCAAAGTCAAAAGATGCTGAACAAAGCCATCAGTCAAGGCCATACTTCAGTCAGAGCCGGGACAGAAGACGTCGTGGTGCTGCACAGGCCTAGATATGTCTTCTCTGATGAAACTGTCAGAGGGAAATTTTTTTTGTTTGTGTTTTTTTTTTATTTTTTTAATTGATTGTTGCACATTTTCTTTTCCCTCTGCCCCTTCCCCAACCCATCCCATAATGCACCCCTTGTTCCAGATTGTTGTCATTGTCAGAGGGAAATGTGAGGGATGAGCAGGCTTCGGAGACTTGATCTAGGGCCAGCAGCACCTCCAAGAGCCCACATCACTGACTGAGAGCTTCTGGGCACCAGAACTTGTTTTATGTCTAAGGACGCAAGGGAATATGCTGGGCTCTGTCCCTGCTCCCCAGCAACGGGAGCAGCTCACAGCAAGAGTAGATGCTGCTGCAGCTGCTGCTGCTGTGGTTGTTACGTGCCTTTGAGTCTGAACTAACTCACAGCTGGCCCTCCAGTAAATTTTCAGAGGCTGTAAATCACAAAGGAAGAGATTGTCTATCTTTCTGTCATGGAGGAGCTTGTGGATTCCAACCATGTGACTTTGAGTTGGTAACACAATTCCTTACCGCTAGGCCACCAGAGCTTCCTCTAGAATAGATCAAGGGATCTAATACAAACCAACTAGTTAACAAACCAACCAACCTACCACCAATAGGCCGCAGAGAACAAAGAATTTTAGAAAGGAAGCATGTCTAGAGGGCAGGATAGGCCCCACCAGCGAGGTGATACCTGGACAAAGTGGCAGGTCTTGCATCAACCTGGTAGAATATTGTCTCAAACAGAGGGAGTGCCCTGGGCTCAAGTAGACACGATGTCTCCAGACTGAAGCCCTGTGGTACCCCTGCTGGACCTCAGAGCATGGAAGCTGAAGGGCCAGGCCATCACCTGACTCTCCACTTTCAGCAGCATCATCACCCTGATCATCCTACACAATAAAAGTGGTGTTTCCAGCAACTAATACTTTTTGGAACAGGTTGCAAATGTAGTTCTGCAAACTGGCCCCAGGTTGTTAACCTCACAGCAAGCTGGAGCCTGTTAGCCAAAAAAGCCCACTAGTGCCAAATTCAAATTTTTACAGATTCAATTATTGTTTTAATACTGAAAAAAAGTTAACAGTTTATTATCATTTATTTAACAAACTAAGAAGTTCGCAGCCATCAGTTGTTTCAGTGCAATTCCAGGTGCAACTGGGAATTTGGGAACCTGTTAGTGTAGCGAACCTTGTAGGTGAAACAAATGCAAACTTTTGATAGCACATGTGAAGGGATCTCTCTAAAATTGACCTCATTGTTTTCATTTTCAGCAAACTGACTTGGGCCACTACACAAGGCTTTTATTGTTCCTGATATGACGAAAAGCTACTAAAGTTCCTGAGGAAATGAAATAGAATTTCAAAGAGTACAATGTACGGAGAGGAAGAAACTTATAATGGCTGTGAAGGCCCAGATGCCATGGATGTCAAATTGATATCTTTTGATGGCCATGAATTTATTGTAGAAAGAGAATTTGCACTAACATTGGATTCAATTATTTTAAAAATAACTCCCAAATAAGCAGAATTTTAGACAATTAGAGCTTTGCATGCCCTGCAAAACTGCCCATCTGTTATCAATAAAATAAACCTTGCCATTATCGGGGGAGCTCTGGTGGCTTGGTCCGTAGGGAGTTGTGCTGCTACCCCAGTGGCCACACCTCCCTGGTGGTTCAAATCTATCAGCAGGTCCAAGAAAGATGAACAATCTTCTCTGCATGTTACAGACTCCAAAACCCACTGGAATGGCTCTGACTTGACAGCCATAAGTTGAGCTAAGCTGGGCTCCGCAGAGCCGTGTGCTGCTGTCCCTCACAGCTCTCTGACCCAGAGACCCCATGCATAGCTGCTGAGGGACATCGCTTACACACATAAAAGCTCTCTTCCCCTCCTGACACTCCCCTCAACACAAGCCTGCACACAAACACATCATTTGGCTTGGGAGGGTCTCTGTGGTGAGGGACTGTCTTTAGCACACAGTACCAGTCAAAAGGTCAGCGTCAATACATGCCTGCCCCTCAGGATCCTTTCCCTGTCCTTCAGCAGCTTCCACATCCCTCAAATTCATCGCACCATGACGGTGACAGCTCCAGCACTGTGCTCAAGGCTCCCCACACACTCACAGTCCCATGCCATCCTCATAGCACAGCTCTATGTGTTCAGATTGGCAACAGAGGTGTGGATAGGGGACATCTCCAAGGAATGGGGCAGTGGGCCCTATCCAGAGCCCATGTGCCTGCCCTCCCTGCCATGGCTCCAGGACACCAGCCTCCAGGACAGGCGTAAAGAACAGTTCACACCAGGAGCAGCCACATAGCTAGTTGGCTGGGTACCCACTTCCTCTGTCTCCCCATTCAATGAGGGACCCTGAGCAAGTGGCTGCAGGTGAGGGTCAGGGCCTGGCTCCCTATAAGGAGCATATAGACAGCCAGCTTGTTCTATTTCTATCTGCTGGACAAGCAAGACCCCATTGGTTCTATTAGGGGTTGGGGTGGAGAGAAGGATGCAGAAAGATCTTAAGCTCTTTTCCCCACTCCTGACCTGGCATGTTGGACAGAGCAGGGAAGGAGGAAGAGAGAGTGGGGAGGATGGTCCTGAGTGGCCTGAGCCCTGGGGCCTGGGCTCCAAGGTCAAACGGAATGACAGCAGGGCCAAGCCACCGGGAAGCTCATGGGGCCTGTGCCTGCAATAGCCCACCACTCTAAAGGGGCACACTCAACTCCTCCTCCAGCCCACTGAGACTTCCCTTCCTCCTTCTACCCCTTCTGGCCTCCAAAAGGAAGTCAGGAGGGTCAGCCCTGTTCTCTATACAGGGACACAAATGGCCGGTTCACACTTTCATTTACCCCACAATCAAGGTCCAGTCTGTGTTTGGACCCCAGAAGACAGAGACAGGGTGTTGGGCCCATGCTGTGGAGCCAAGCTCTCCTGCCCAGAGGCCACTGCCCTGAGCCTCCCCAGATGGGACTCATACTTGTTGTTGATGTCTTGGATCCTCTGCTCAGACCTTTGCATCAGATAGTACTGCTGGTTCTGCAGGTAGTTCTCTTTAAGGTAGGCTTCCCAAGACAGGAGAGCCATCTCTTCATTCTCTTCCAGTTTATTTTCTGTCAAGTAGACCAGAAAAAGGAAATCTGAGCACCGTATAAAAGAGGACAAATGAGAATCTGCTCTCAGGGACTCTGAGCTAAGGTGGTGACCTGAAAGGCTGAGTGGAGAGGACAAGAGGGACAGCTGAGCCTCCAACCCATAGGGACCCTGAGGGAGGAAAAGAAGGGAAGACAGGCGAGGTTCTGACTCATGCAACCTGGGCGAAGAACAAAGGGTGCACCAGGCATAGAACTGGTTTCTGAGTGGCAAGAGAAGCTTCTCACCACTCCTCCCCAGAAGGCTGCTCAACGCAGCCTGGAGCTTGTGAAAGGTTGGTAGGAGATAGGCACGGAAGGATGACCCATGCAGATACATAATTCTGAAGGGTCCAGAATCCTCAAAGTGCCACTGTGCCCACCTCTGACCCACCTACACTCAGAGACAGCTGAAGGGGAGAGGCTCGTGGGGGCAGCAGAGACCCTGGCTTACTCAGCTGCTTGTGCCTCTTGGGTGGGATCCTGAGGACGATCCGCTTGACCAGGAGCTGCAGGTGGCTGAGCAGTATGAGGGGCGGCGGGGCAGGGGGCCGGTTGTAGTACTCCTCGATCAGGTCATGGCGCTGGAACTTCCAGATCTGGTCTGTGTGCTCCTGGACCTCCTGGAAGGTGTAGCTGGTGGGAGCAGAGGGACACCAGTCACCGAGAGCAAGGAGACTTGTGTGCGTCCACCCCTCTTCACTGTCAGCATATCTGCAGTGATGCACAATTAGTGAAGAAAAAAATACTCTGTGGGATGGCAATTATCAAGGCAGAAAGGAAGGTGTGTGTGTGTGTGTGTGTGTGTGTGTGTGTGTGTGTGTGTGTGTTACCAGGAAGCTTGGAATTTGTGAATTTCTTAGAAACCTCAATCTCGAAAAGCTCATTGCCATCAAGCTGGAACTGACTCCGAGCTGACCATCCAATGGGTTTCTGAGGCTGTAAATTGCACTGGAGAAGATTCCCCATCTCTCTTCTAAGGAATTTATGGTGGATCTGAACCACCAGAGAGGTGAGGCCTTCGAGTTAGCAGTGCAACCCACTATGGGCTAGGAAACCACGGGGAGAAAAAACAAGGAACAAATAGACTTTTGATTTTGTCAAACTTTTTGGAGAATAAAACAAAATGATTATTCACCAGGGAGAGAGAGATTCTCCTGGCCTTTAAGTTGAAAATTAGTTTATCAGTTGAATCTGGTTTGAAAACAATCAGAACCAGCAGCGTTTGAGAGGCTTCCTGTAGATACCTCATCTACACGGTACAACCTCCAAAGAGCTGAGTCCAGAGTAGAGAGAAACCCTCCAGAGGGGAGGTGGGCCAGGCAGGGCAGAAACACAGTCTCCCTGCTTTGCTCACTCCAGACCTGTCCCTGCCCATTGGCCCAGTCTGGTCTTGACTGGGCAGTTTTTCTAGGACTCTCAATATTCAGAAAACCAGTTGCCATGGAGTCAAGGCCAATTCACGGCACCTCTTCAAGTGTCAGGCTAGAATTGTGCCGCTCAGAGTTTTTCAGTGGCTTATTTATCTGAAGTCACCAGACCTTTCTTCAGGGCCCCTCTGGGTCCACTTGAACCTCCCACCTTTCAGTTAGCAGACAAATATGGTCATATTTGCATAGCCCAAGTATTCTTGGCTTACAGCACCACTTTATTACCTTAGAGTTATAGAAGTCAGAAGTCTCAGATGGGTCCCATGGACTGAGTCAAGTTGTGGAAATAGTATTACTGAGAATTTTGCTTCTGCTGTTGTATCTCCCTGACTCTGAGGCCCTGTCTTCCTCTTTCCACATGAAGACTCCAGATCCACTCTGCTAACCCTCCATTGCAGGATCCCTGATATAATCCTATTTGCCATGTAAGGAAGTATAGTCACAGTTTAAGGGACTTAGATGTGGGCATCTGGACTATATGAAGAAGAATATGGCATCAATATTGGTGGAAGACCCTTCAACAACTTGTACTACACAGTTGATAGAACCTTGCTTGCTGAAAAGGAAGTGGACTTGAGACACTTCCTGCAGAAGATCAATAGCCTTCAATATGAATCACATCTTAACATCCAGAAAAACAAAATTCCTCATCACTGGACCAAAGGCCACATCATGATAGATGAAAAAAAGATTGAAATTGCCAACAATTTCATCTTACTTAGATGTATCATCTTTCATGGTAACAGCAGTCAAGAAATCAAAAGACATGCTGCATTTGGAAAGCCTGCAAAGTGCTAAAGAGTGACAATGTACGTTTAAAGACTGAAGTGCTCCTGATCTGTGCCACAGTCTTTTCAATTACTTCCTATGCATGTGAAGAAGAAGAACTGATGCCTTTAAACTGTGGTCTTGGTGGAGAGTATTGAATATGGGCTGCCAAGAAAATGAACAAATTTGTCTTGGAGGAAATACAACCAGGGCGTTCCTGAGAGGCAAGGATGGTGATGCTTCGCCTCACATACTTTGGGCATGTGGTCAGGAAAGGTCAGTCCTTGGGGAGAGGGCATTATGCCAGGAAAGGTAGTGTCAGGGCAAGAAAGGGGGATTCTCCCACAAAAGGGATTGACAAAGTGACTGCCAGTGTCAGAATGACAAAGAGCCCAGGCATATCAGAGATGGTAAGGACGGGGCAGGACAGGGCAAGGTTCAGATCTGCTGTTCACAAGGTCACTATAAGTTGTAGTCAACTCAATTGCATCTACCTAACAACAATGATGCTCTGCATCCAAGAGCTGGACAATGAGTAAAGATGATAGAAGAAGAATTGATGCCTTTGAGCTGTGGTGTTGGAGAAGAGCACTGGACATCCCATGGATGGCCAAGAGAATGAACAGATATGTCTTGGAGAGGGTATAGCCAAGTGCTCTTTGGAGGCAAGAATGATGAGGCTTTGCCTCACATACTTTGAGCATGTTGCTAAGAGGTGATATTCCTTGGAGAAGGATATAATGCTTGGAAAGGTGGAGAGTCAGTGAAGGGGAGGAAGACCCTCAACCAGGTAGACCGTCACAGTGACTGCTACAATGGGTTTTTGTTTGTTAGGAAGTGTGAGAATGGCATAAGGTAGAACAGGATTCAGATCTTTTGTTCATAGGGTCACTATGAGTCATACTCGACTTGATGGCACCTAACAACAACAACAATGACCACATCCTGCTACACACAGGTACCTGTAAAAGAACAAGTCACATCTAGCCCCTTGATGTCACAAACAGCTGGGCACATGGATCAGGAGGTAGAAGGGGCACGTCTGTAAAAGCCCTGTGAGTGACAACAAAACTCATAAATTCGGCGAGCTCTGGAGGCCTAGCGTCAAGAGGCTGCACTGCAATCCCAGAGGTGTGCGGTTCAAATCCACCAGATGTTTTGCTGGAAAAGGAGGAACAATCTCCTCCTGTACCAGTCAAATCTGATTTGACAGTACACACACACACACACACAATTAATAAAAATAAAAAATAAAATTAAAAAAAAACCCCAACTCATAAATTCATGTCAATGAAGAAACTCTTGAGTGTGTGTGCAAACCAGACAGGGACCTCTGTGTACAGCAGCCAGAACCACTGAGAAACAAGCCTGGGGAAGCCGTGACTCAGCATAGGGTCAGAGGAGAACTGCAGAGGCAGCAGGGGTGGGTCTCAGGGGTCAAGTGGAAGGGCTTTGGGGACAGGATAAAGAGCAGATATTGATGGGAGAGAAGGCCAACCCTGAGCACACTGCCCCAAGTGGAGCAGTGATCCCCTGAGTAAATGACACCTATCCTTCCTGGGGACACCATGTAGCTGTGAAGAGGAAAGAGACAGACCCCAGCAAGCACAATGCATGCTAGGCTTCTGTGGTTTCTCACATTCATTTAATCATCAAAGTATCCCTGAGGAAAGATAATATTGTTAGCCCTAGAATTAAAATGAAGAAACTGAGGCACAGAAAGGTTAGATAACTTGCCTATGAGCACATAACTATTAAGAAACAGAGCAGAGACAAACCCTGTCCACCTGGCCCCCAAAATCACATCTCTTACAGGCAGTATCACATGACCTTTCCAACACACACATCAAAATAAGTTATCAAGTAGAAAGAGCAAGTGACAGAGAACAACAAATGTGGTTGATTGCATAACTGGTGCCACTGCTCATCCCTTCCGTTGCTGTTGATTGCCTTTGAGTTGAGCAGGACTCATAATGACCCTATGAACAAAAGTCCTGAAGCCCCTCCACAGCTATTGACATTTATCAAAGTTCATAGAGTTTCCAAAGGCATATTATTTAGGAAGTGGATGCCACTCCTGCTTCCAAAACCTATACCCCTTGGGAAGAACTCTTGGATGACAAGGGGATAAACACTCAGCTACTAATCAAAAGATTCACTTGTGTCTCCCCAGAGGCATCTTGGAAGAAAGGCCTGGCAATCTACTTCAAAAAAATTCTGTCCTTGAAAACCCTGTGGATCACCTGGGGACATTATGAGTCTGGGAAACTTGACAGCAACCGGTGCCCCACAGCGCTCAGACAAACAGACAGGACTCCAGCAAACTTCCCACAAGTAGAAAGTTGGAAAGTCAGTCACCCGCTTCCACTTCCAGTTTCTCTTGGAACCTTGTCACCACTGGGAGAATAAGCCTAGACTAGCCTGCTGGAAGATGAACTCATGTAGAGGAGAAGTGTACTGTCCCAGTTGGAGCTGCCATAGACCAAGCAGCTCCTGGTCCACCCACTACGCACCTGCAGATGCAAGTAGGAAGGAGCCCAGCCAACCTCAGCTGAGCCCAGGCCCAACCAGCAGAACCATCTCGCTCTACTACAGGCTGTGAGTGATAAGATTTGGTTGAAGCTTCTTATTGCCAGGGTTGGGGATAGTTTATTACAAAACAATAGCTTTGGGAAAAAAATATACTGCTAATCATACGTGATTCACAGGATCACTATGAGTCGCCTACTACTTGACGGTCACTTAACAACAACAATCATATATGCCTGTAAATCCATCAGAAAGGGGCTTTCAGACCTCTAACTGTGGGATAAGGAGCCCTGTTGAGCTCTTGTAATATAAATGTTTTCCACATCTAGAATGGAGGTAGGCCTTACTTGCAGATGAAGAGCAATACAATTTAATAAATGTTAGCATGGTTTCCTCAACATCTAAAATGGAATAAAGTGGCCCAGTTATTTTGCCATGTTCAGCTCTGGTCTCCACAATCTTATTTAGTCTCCCTAACAATCTGTGAAATAGAATTTTCTCCATTTCACAGAGAACAGAGCAGAAGCTAAGATAAGGCAGACGTATTGCACAAGACACTGAGTCCAAGCCAAGCTGCTCCAGGTGCCAGGTGCATTGTCCTCTCCTTGTGGGGTGCTGATCAATCCGAAGGCCCTTAATTAAGAAACATAAATCCTCTCCTGCAGTCTCAAAGGCTCCCAGGCAGAGGCAGGAAGAACATGGCTTCAACTTATACCCAGCTGCCCCCACACTGCACACATGGGAGGGTAACCAGGGCACGCCCCTCAATGACAGGCTAGCCATGTTGGCTCCATGGCCTGATACTTTGCATTAGCGGTGCTGGAGAAATGCATCTAGATGGCTCCCAGACTTGGAAGTCGCTGTCTGGAGCATGCAGGGAGACTCAAGAGCATGGTGAGGTTGGTATAGCACTGGAGAAAATCTGTTCCACCCGCTCGTATACACCAGCCCAGCCCACAATGGGCAGGGTGACACTCACTTGAACATAGCGATGAGGAGATTGAGCAGCAGGATGTTGGCAAAGAGGAGGTAGAGGCAAAGCAGGATGACCGTCAGCCACTCAGGGAAGAGAGGCTCCTGCCGAGTCATGTCATTCTCCGGGCACTTGGGCTTGTAGGGGTCCGTGCCATTAGGGCTGCAGTAGTCAAGGCTGAAGTTCACTCCTGGCATTGACAATAGCAATAAAAACAACACATAGTTGCACATTAGCCATCATCAATGGCTCTGGACTCTTAGAGTGTCCCTGTGGAAAGGGATCTATCTCTAAGGTCACGTGGTCCCTCACTGAGCATGCCCACACACGTGGAAATCTGAGCACATAAACGATCTCAGCTCTCGGTTTAGGGATTAAAGAATGCCTGTCTCTCTGCATCCAAGAATCCTCTGCAGACGGGAAGGCAGCTACCAGTGAAGCCTCAGGAATCAGATGGTACCCTGGATTGGGACATCCCTACCCAGGATCCAGCCCTCCCTCCACCAGGTCACTTCCTGGACCCCGGCACCACCAGGTAGATACTGGAGCTGTCCTCTACAGTAAGACACTGGTTCCCACATGGGTGAGTTCAAGTTAAAGGGGTGGGAGGAATTTAACAAGAACTAAGAAAAAGGGCACTTGAAAAAAAGAAAACTGCTGAATAAGCTAAGGAAACATAGCAAGTATGTGGTTAACTCAAAGAGTTTGTGAGATTATGACAAATATCTTTCTTTGGATCCTAAAGAAAGAAAGAATACCCATATTCAATAATTGTTATTTTTGTTGTTAGGTCTCATCAAGTCGAGTCTGTCTCATAGTGACCCTATGAAGAACAGATCTGAGCCCTGTCCTATTCTGTGCCAACATCACAATCTCTGACACACTTGGGCCCATTGCTGCAGGCCCTGTGTCAGTCCACCTGACCAAGGGCCTTATTCTCTTTCATTGTCCATCCACTTTCCCAAGCATGATGTCCTTCTCCAAGGAATGGCCTCTCTTAGTGACATGCTCAAATTACTTAGAAGACTTAATCTTGTTAAAACAGCAATACTAAAAAAAACACAAACAAAAAAAAACAAACAAACCAGCAATACTACCCAAACTGAGCTACAGACTCAATGCAGTCTCATCAAAATCCCAAGTGACATTTTTGCCAAAATTAACAAGTCTATCTTAAAATTCATTTGGTATTGCAAGGTGCCCAGAAGAGCCAAAACAATCTCAAAAAAGGTAGAAGAAGAGGACTCACACTACCTCACTTCAAAACTGACGACAAAGCTACAGTAATCAAGACAGTGTAGTACTGGCACATGGACATAGAGATCAGTGGAATAGAATGAAGAAACAAAAAAAGGATACCCTAACATTTGTGCTCAGTTGATTTGTAAAAGGAGGCCAACATAATTTAATAGCAGGAAAGAACAGACTTTTCACTAAATGGTGCTGGAACAACTAAATAACCAGGTGGTTGATTCAGTTACTGAGGCAATAGGTTCAATCATAGTAACAAGGATGGTGCAGCCCAGGTGGTATTTTATAGGATCTCTATGAGGCAGAACCAGCTTAGTAACATGTCACCAGTGGGAATGGAAAATTAAAAATGGGCTTCTTATGGCCGAGTGGTAAGTAAGGTGTTGCTGCCAACCTGAAGGCATGTGGTTTGAATCTACCAGCTGCTCTGCAGGAGAATGACGGACAATCTCCTCCCCTGAGACTTACAGCCTCTGAAAACCCACTGGAGGATCAGCTGTGCATCAGTTCTGACTTGACAGCACATAACATACCAGCTTTGAAAAAGTGGTTAATAGTTCCTCAAAAATGTTAAACATATAACTCATCTGAGTCAGTAATTCTACGCTAAGACATATACTCAAGAGAATTAAAAACAGACTCATAAATCTGTATAAAATGCTCCTAAGATCATTATTCATAATAGTAAAAAAGTGGAAACAACCTAGATGTCCATCAGCTTGCAAATAGATAAACAAAGTATGATTTAGTCATACAATGGAATTCAGCTACAACAGGGAATGAGGTCATTTGGTGCAGCCTGGAGAAACTCTGAAAGAATTATGCTGAGTGAAAGAAGTCATTAAACAACAACAGTAACACACTTATATACGATTTCTTATATACGAAATATCCAGAAAAGGCAAATCTACAGATACAGGAAGTGTATTCGTGGCTACCCAGGGAGGAGGCTTGGTAACAAGGGAGAGTGACTTTTTTGTTTTGGAATGATGACAGATTATACTGCTGATTACACAATTCCATAAACACTGTAAATCACAGCACTGTACAATTTAGATGGGTAAACTTTATGGTGTATAAACTGGATCTCAATGGCACTGCCAAAAAAAAGAGGAAGTTGACTTCTATTTTTAAGAAGTGCTCTCTCCCTCCAGAAGGAGCCCGAGTGGGTAAGGAATTGGGCCGCCATGCAAAGACCAGCAGTAGGAATCTACCACCTGCTCCCAGGGACAGAGAAGAGCTCCTTCGTGCAATTCACAGCCTCTGAAAACCCCCTAGAGGGTCAGCTGCGAGTCAGTCCTGACCTGATGACACCAAACAACAACAACTCCCTCCAGGGAAGGAGGAGGTTGTTTCAGCCTGGGATGTAAGGAAGCTGCAGAGCAGAGACTCCTAGTTTAAGGGAGGGAAAGAAACGTCAGCAGAAGCCCTGAGCTCAGCAGAAACCCTGAGCCACAGGCCACAGGTCTCAGCGGCAGCTGTGAGGGACAGACAGACTCCTCTCACACCCCAAGTGGGTAAAGCCTTTCTCTTTCAGCCATAGGGAAAGTGGAGAGTTAACATTTCCAAATGGCCAAGTGGGAACTGCTCAGACCCTTCCTTCTGCCGTTCTGCGCTTTCAGGGGCTCCTCTAGACTCATTTCATAGCAATGAACTCATGCCTTTCAGTTGCCTTTCCTCCTTTGCCTCACTCTCCGCTTCCTGCGACCACCTTTCAAATACACCCTGAGCTCCTAGAGCGTCTCCTGGCTCTACTTTCAGGAGTTGGGTCTCCTACCGTCAATATAGGTTGGAATCTGCCCAAAGATGGTGAGGTACGACTGGTACACGACCCCTCGTAGGATCCAGTCCACCCGGCTCTCATTGCGGATGAGGATGGCCTGTGTGGCCACCCCGAAGGACACGACCCACACCACCAACAGGAAGAGGAAGAAGAAGACGTCCTTCATCTGCGGAGACAGGCATCACTAGGAGCTGCATCCCACCGCCACCCACTAGACCTTCTTCCTGTCCAGTGGTTGGTTCTGCCCCACAGAGGAGAAATGAGCAGTTGGGCGACCCCTCAGGGAGGAGATAGAGGCTGCCTTCCAGACCTCAGCAGGTATGTGTGGACATCCTCTCTGGGCTGAACACCCAAAGGTGATGCAGGGGTCAGACACAGCTATGGGCCAAAGAAGGAAGCCATAATGGTAGGAAATGAACAAAGGACTTACAGCAGAGAATCAGATAAGGCTTCCTAGAAGAGGAGACTAGAGGACATTCCAAGGGGTGGGAGCCCTAGGGGCAGAGCTCAGGATGGGGAACCTAAGAGGGGGTGCTGAAGGGGTCAATCACAGTCTTCCTGGATGGCGGCCATTCGACCTCTTACCATGCGCTTCAGGATGATTATCTTGGGCCCCAGTGTTTTACTGACGGTAAAGATGTGCATCAGCCGGAGACAGAACAAGATGAAGTCCAGAGAGAGGACGACACGCCCAGTGTACAGCATTTCTGGGAGGAGCCTGGCAGCCCAAGGCAGAAGCAGAGATGCCCCCTCAGCTCTCTGCTCCCTAAGTATCCAGATCCCATGGGGGCATGGAGCACCAGCTCCCACTTCACTTGCCCAACTCAGGAAAAATGTTCTAGGGGCTTTTGGACCTCAATGCTTTTAAAACATGAGAGGGAGGGAAAAGAAGTTTCAAGGACAGCAGGCTTTTCTTTAGAAAGTTCTAGGAGCTCAGGCTCAGGGATACAAGGCAGGTTGACCTGGCCCCTCTGCTCAGTCATGGAAAAGTCTCAGATGGACATGGCCTTAATGGGCATTGGAGTGGTCATGGGTAAGAGTGGAAGGTGAGCAAGAGAGCTACAAGGCTCCGGGGACCCGGGCCAGCCCCGTGGTCAGGGCAGACAGACGACCCCACGGGGTATCTGAGTTCACAGGGACATTTCATTTGCTCCACCCCATAATCCTAGAACAGGCAGGGCAGCTTTCCTCATACGGCCATTAGGCAGGTGATAAACGGAGGTCAGCCAGCCTTTTAAAAGGGCAGCAAGATTGAGGTCCTCCAACCTACAGAGGCTGAGCTTCGGCCAGGGGGTTGGGGGAAGGCAGAGTGGGTCCTGGCTCCTCACCTGCAGGTCAGCCCTCCTATAAAGAGAAGGATGGCAGCAACATCCAGTTTATTCCAAGAGTCGCTGAAGTACAAAGAGGCCATCTTGTGCAGTCCATACCCATCAGGGTCGTAGAAGAGCTATTGGGAGGAGAGTGGTTAAGGGGAGTCTTAATGCTTTATGCGCAGGATGGCCTGCAAGAACTCTCCCCAACCAGCCCTGGGTCCCCATTAGCCCAATCAGTTCACTGGCTGCCTCCAGGAGCTGGCACTGTGGGGACCCAGTAAAGGATCCTTTCCCAGAAAGAGAAGACACCCTAGGCCCCACAGTGTCAGAGATGGCTGTCACTGGGGTGAGGAGTGGGATGAGAAGAGGCAGAGAGGTAAGATATGTCCTCTTGGGGTGGAGAAAGGGATGCAGACTGCACACGGGAGTCACACATCACAGTGACTGTGTGGGACTCAGGAGGATGGGCCTTGGCCAAGGGTCGCCAGGAGAAAGCAAAGAACCTTGGGAAGGCGGTTAACAATGGGGTCTTGCTGGAACCAAAGGCGACAGGACCCATACCTGGCGCATTTCCTCGCACACCAGCGAGAAGAGCCAGCAGTAGATGGCATACTCGTGCCAGGAGGGCGAGTCTTGGAAGTCCATCATCAGCACGTAGGCAAAGAGCCAGAGGAAGGCGAAATAGGAGAGGATGTTGAGGTGGAAGATGACCACGGGCGCGTTGAAGAAGCCACGGACACGGGCCAGGCTGTTCTTCGACTGCAGCCTCTTCTCCCTGTCGGCCAGGGTGTGGTGAGTGAGGGTGTGGGCTGTGGGGACAGGAAGGGGAGGTGGCTGATACAGTTCCCCGGGAAGCCTCAGCCCCACCAGCAAGGGTGTGTGGGTCACACACAGTGCCTGACGTCACACTACCATTAGATGGAGTAGCCAGGACCCAGAACTGTCCCTTCATGTAGTGATAGGAGTAGATGTGGGTAGCTCCATCCAGTCAAGGCAGGAAAAAGTGTTCTCATGTGGACCCCTAGAGACATTCTCAGGCTTAGGTTTCACTGGATTTGTAATAAATATCAAAGTCTTAAGAGTCAGTCCAAACCAGCTGTGAAGTCAGGGTATTCTGAGAGTACTGGCCAGTCAGGGATATGAGCGGTTCTCAGGAAGTCACACTTGAGAGAACGGGTGGAGAGCAAGATCTCGGAGTGAAGTAAGGCTGACACTTGAATAGGGAGAGGACTGGGGAGGAGCAGAGAGGTGGAGGGAGAACTGAGCCACGACCCTTCAAACCCTGCTCTATCGTAGCCCCCTACTGCTGTTGGAAACCCTCTGAGAGAGATACGGAAAGCAACCCTGTCTGTGCCATGTCACCTCCCACCAAGAGCCTTGTCTTGAAGATCCAGCTTGACCCAGGTCCCATCTTGCTGTTGTCCTGGGAGGTGACCCTCAGGGCTGGGACTGCACACCAAGAAATGAGCCCCCTCTCCCAGCAATTCTTTCTCACAAGGTGACAACAGGGGCTGCACAGGTGAATGTGAGCCACTCCACCCCAGGCGCACTGTAAGGACTGCCAGGAACACAAGCAGAAGATGGGCTCTGATGGCAGATGGGACCCTGGTACTTCCGGGTAGGTAGGAAGAGCAGGCTGGCTTTGGAGCCTCGGTGTGCTGGCCACTTCTGTACAACGCCTGCCCTGCTCACTCTAGATGCCCTGCCCACTTGGACGCTTAGATCTTCATCTACTCAGGATGAATCCAGGAAGAGGCTGCTGGGGAGGCTTTGTTGCTGGCTATCTGGCTGGGACCAAGGACTGGCTGGACTCAGGTGGAACAACTATGCCTCAGACTCTAAATGGCAAAGACAGCGCCTAGCCTGGTCAGCCTGAGCCCAAAAAGACCCTCAGGAGATGCTTGGTGGTCCCTGAAGAGCAGGTGCACACGAAGCGAGTTCCTCCCTCCTGAATCCTGACCTCATGCATCTGCACTGCCATGGGACTCCAATCAGAATCATGTAACACATGAGGCTCACTCCCAGCAAGAGTGTTTGAGGAAGGGGAACCCCAAGTCCCAGGGCCCCAGTCACCCTAGCGCAGCTTAGCCTAGGATGCACCTGAACAAGATGAAGCCCGTGAAGAGCAGTGGGAAAGCCAGCATGCACAGCATCACTCGCCACAGCCCATTTTCCACGCAAAGCTTGCCCCACCACACCTTGGTCAGAAAGGCCTGTGGAGAGACAGAAGCACTGCATCAGAAGAGCCCTCACATATCCAGGACAGTCTCACCCAGCACGCTCACACCCCTTGCCCTCCCCAAAGTATTGGGGGCAGTCTCTGGCCCGGAGTTAGACCTGCGACACTGGGGTGGGGAGAAGTGTCTGCTCCGGCTGTGTGGTGTTCTCACCATCATGCGCACAGTCACAGTGCTCCTAGTTAGAGTGCTCTCGGAGCTCCACACCACAATGCATGCAGACAGGCCGGGTGCCCACCCACCTGCTAAGGGATCGGCTCAAGGTGGCACAGGTGGCCGTCTTCCCACAGTGAGCCAGGACTGGACCCTGAGCTTGGATCCCAAGTCCCATCTCTCCTACACCTCCACTTGCAGTATATAATGTCTTAAGGCCTCCTGGCCCAAAGCAACAGGCTTTTTTTTTTTAAAAGCAACAGGCTCTTATAGCTGACCTCATTTCAACTTGGAAGGGTGGAGACAAGGGTACTCCCCATAATCACAATTATTCTCAGTAGATCTGAGAGATGACATCCAGCCATGCACCTAGAAAACATCTCATCTGAGGAGGCACCTGCCACATGCCAGGCCCTCCCACAGCTTCCCGAGAGGCACCAAAACAACTATCTCCAGGCATTCTGTACGCCTAGCTGATCTAGAATGTTCTGTTCTCTCTCCTCTCCACTTGTCCCTTGTCTGAAGGTAGAATGAGAGCTGGTTATACATTAACACAGATTAGAGGATGGGCATCTAACTTCCTAATACCCCCAGGAGAGAAAGGTCTAGTACTTTTGATGGGAGCATCATCTTTCCTATCTAACTAGACACCTGCTTTTGCTTAGCTGTGTTTCTTATTCTGTGCTGTTAAGTTGGAGCTGACTCATAGTGGGTTTTCAGAGGCTGTAAATCCCATGGGAGGAGATTATTCATCTTTTGCCCATGGAGCAGCTTGTGGATGGCAGCACAACTCTTTAACCACTTCTGGGCCTGGAGCAGGTGCGTCCTGGGTGAGGTACTATTCTAACACTGAGATCTGAAATGTGTCTATATAGGTGAGGAGCTATGTTCCTCCAGAAGCAATTGGGAGCCTGTCTTGGGAATGGACCCTCTCAGCCACCTGGACACCTCCATGAGACACAAACTTCAAGTCCTTAGCTTCAAGAGCAAGCTGCAGACAGGTGGTCATCCCCCAGGCATCAGACACGCGGACCAGCAACTTCTGTGCTCGCTCCTCGTCTTTCCGGTAGCACTCAGTGAAGACTCCTGGTTGGAGCAGGAAGATGTGAATCAGAACATAGGTGGACATCCCTCACTCCTGGAAAACTGTCAAGGAGTGACCTCTCTAAATGGCACTTCTGTGTAGGGGTACAGGCGCAAGACTGTGAGAGGGAAGAATGACACCCAGGTCAGGGAGAAAGACTCAGGGTGAGGCTGGATGGGGTTGACATTGTGACCTGCATCTTGTAGGGCTCACACCATGACCTGGATTTCCTCAGGGCTCCTGTTTGGAGAGGAGTGTCAGGGGTTGTCGTCACCCAGGCCCACCCAGGACTCACCAATGGCTTTGAGCTCGTACTGATCTGCCCGTGCCAGCATCTCCTCTGAGCAGTCCGTGTCCTCCTCCTCCTTGGACAGCTCCTTCAGGAGCTTGCTGCAGGCCAAGGCTGCCATGATACAGTCCTGGCTCTGGGGACAAGGGGTCACAGCGAATATCCTGGAGGACCCACAAAACTCCAGCCAGCCTGGGGACCCCCTCTCAGAACACCACCCAGGAGAGCACAAGCATGAGACCCAGCTGTCCTACTGGGCAAGGACTCCTTGTGAGTTTGTCTAAATAAACAAGGAACCCTCGTGGAGTAGTGCAAGTGTCAGGCTATTAACCAAAAGCTTGGCAGTTCAAATCCTGCCAAGTTCAAATTGTGCTGCTTCTTAGGAGAAAGATCTATAGTCTCCTCTAAAAAAAAAAAAAAAAAAATTTATATATATATATACAGCTACAGAAACCTGATGGAGGGTCATCCTGAGTCAGAATCAAATCAAAGGCACTGGGCTATAATCTGAGTCACTCAAAGCAATAGGCTGTACCTTTCGGATAGTCCTGTCTTCTGTGCTAACCAGTGAGAATGGTCCTCCCTCCAAGCTGCCGGCCTGAAACAGCCACAAGTCGCTGTGCTCCTCAAACACAGGCAAAGGGGAGAAATGGGGCTGGGCCCATGCAAGTCTCAGTCTGAGTTCAGAATGCCTGACTCAATGGGATTGCTGGTCGCAGCTAGTCCTAGCCACCAAGGAAGCTGTAAAAACTTCCTGGAAGGCTCCCAGAGTACAGGCGCCCCCTAAGGTGCAGGGTTTGGGTGGGAGCCAAGGTTTGACAGGACACAGGATCAGTGCACATTGAGCCTGCATGTCCCCTGAGGTGGACAGCACAGTGAGGGAGAGGGAGAAAACCTAGCATTCTGTCAGGGGCAGTTCTACCACTGACTCACCCAGTGAAGCAGGGAGAGTCCCCACCATCACAGACATTAGAAAAGGAGACCCTATGAAACCCACCTCTTTGCAAGCAGCACGGGGGGGGGGGGGGATGAGACAGCTCCTTAAAAGGCACAGAAAACAAAGGGAAGAGCCCTCTCTGAGAAAAAAAACAAACCCAAACTCGCACAATTACACTTTCTTTTTCTGAGAAGAAGCAGTTTTAGCTAAAGAAAAACCACATATTGGGCAACTAGCCCAAGAGGTCAGAGGTTCAAATCTCCTGGCTCTGTGACAGAAACTTGCTCTTATAAAGATTTACAGTCTCAGAAAGCCCACAGAGGGTTGTTATGAGTCAGAACTGAGCCCACAGCCTTGGGTTTGATTTTGGGGTTTACTAGTTGGTTCTCATTGTTCCAGGTAGCTGTGGTCTATGTGTTTACTGCATTTGTGAACACACAACGACTGCAGAGGGAACACAGCTAGACTTCCTGTGAAACTCTGATCACATTTTCAGCCAATTAACAAACAGCCTTGATTTATGTATATTTCTGTTCTGTTTAACAACATCTTTTTAACACACTGTACACTGACTAACAGTGAACACATAGCCAAGAGTACTATGTATAACTCGTGCCAGAACAAAGTTTACCTGACGTGTATATGCAAGACCCACCGCGGGCTTCTTGCATTTAGAAACACCAAGCAGCACTTCAGTCTATGTTTGCAGGACCATTTTAAACGGTTACGTCACTAGCAAAATGAAAAACAAAACAAAAATAAAGATGGCACTAAAAAGATTGTGGAAAAGGCCCCTTGTTTGCAGCAGGAGAATTGAAATAAAAATACAGCAGCAGCAGCAGCAGCATTTCTCGGCCTTTTGGCTAAGATCAAGGGTAATATATGTTCTTATCAGTTTAAAAATGCAGCTTTGTACTGTTCTACACTGGCTGGGATTCAAAATTGGAATTGGTAACTCATACTTTTGCTATTTAAATTGGTGCATGTCCACAAAAGACCATGAAAATACCACACGTATTGATTTTTGAGGTCACAAGTAAATTTTAGCAATAAAGAATCCATGGATAATGAAAATTGTTCTTAACTTTTCAAAGAGCTGCTCCATACCTCTCTCGTATATAGGAATTCAAGCTTCCCAGGGGCCTGGCGGCCATACAAGTAGTCTTGGCTGCTGGCCGACCAACTGGCTGATGTTCTGAGACAGTGATCGGGGGCTCAGGTCAGAGAATACTGCAGCGAGGACTGTTCTCAGGATCCCCAGTGGTCAAGGAGATGAGGCGTGGTGAGTTTGTTACCCAGGCAGCGAGTCACAGCGTACACTGACCCACTAGAAATGTGTAGGTAGGACTGATCCACAACCGCCAGGTAGGCTGTGCCTTCACTCAACCAAGAGACTGTTTGACAGAGTCTCCTTTTCAGGATTCTTTTCCTGCCTAGGCCTACCTAAGCCCCTTGGGCTGCTGAGTCTGTCCTGGGGTTGGAAGACATCTACTTTACTCTATCACTCCCTACTGCTATCAGCATGTGGTCCCCGCTGCCCCCACACCAGTCTACCCAGAGCTGAGTCTGCAGAGAAGCAGGCCTCGTTCATTACCTGAGTCCAGATGATTTCTGCCAGTTCCCAGCGGTTCTGGACAATGGCCCAAATGAGCAGGTCACGGACGGGGTCTGTGGTGAACGTGTTTTCCTTTGGTAATAGCGCCTGCTCCTGCTCTTGCTCCTGTTGAACAAGCAGACATGAGAGACCCATCAGGGCCATACAGAACAGAACCTCCAGGGGGGTGTCAGATATGCAGATCCTCAACCCAGCCCAACATCTTCCCGGATCCCTGCCCCGAGGTCTAGTCCAGGACTACATCATTAACAACATCTCAAATCTCAGTTTAAAAAAAAAAAAAGCAGTAGAATCCAGACTAACCCATGAGCTCGACATGTGTCAAAACAGAACTGCCCTCAATGGGAACTCAATGGATTTTTTTTTTCTTGGAAGTGAGTCACCAGCTCTTTTCATTTCAAGGTGTCTCAGATGGACTTGAACTGCCAACCTGTTGGTAAGCAGCCAAGCATGCTTACCATTTGTACATGAAAACCAAGATTCTCTGGCTGATCAGTAAACACGTACTCAGACTGCCCGAATTCCCACAGGTGGTGAGCACATTCCCCACATCACACATACTCACGATTTCTTGTATAGCAGAGTTAGAAATACCTTGGAAGTTTATCTTTCAAAAAGTAGCTGACCTTCTTAAATCACATAGATAAGATTAAGCGTACATGAGCATCTGATTTTGATCCCAAGCACATTCAGACTGGGATATGAGGCAAACACGATGGAAACAAGAAGATTAGTACTATGAATATATTCAAATGAGCCTCAGCCACGTCTTTCTCAGGAGTCAGGTGCTGAGTTGCCGATAGGAATACATCCAATACACCATGGAATACATTCAAGAAGCAGGATTGGAATTAGGGCTTTGTAGCAGGGGAAAAAATATTCTACTTTAGAAGACATAGAACATTTTTTCAGCTAAAATATCAGGAAAGAAACTAAAACTATTATCAAAGCTACATTCCCCAGTGGATTTGCAGGAGAATCTACAACTGTTGAAATAAGTTAATTCCAATCTTTTAAGCCATCCTGGAGTCTCTGGGTGGTGCAAACAGTTCACTACTCTACTTGTTGTTGTTGTTGTTGTGGTGGTGGTGGTGTACCTCCAAATCAGAACCCACCCATAGCTGACCCTCCGGTGGGGATTGCCTGTCCTGCTCCACTAACAGAATAGCTAGTGGACTCAAACCACGTGCCTTCGGGATTGCAACACAGTTTCTTGCCACTAGGCCACCAGAGCGCTCTACTAACTGAAAAGTTGATGGTTCACATCTACCCAGAAGCAGTGCAGAAGAAAGCCTTGGCATGTTTCTTCTGAAAGATCACAGCCACTGGAAACCTACGTTATGCAGTTCTACTGTGAAGCACATGCCATTGCCATGAGTCAGCGCTTTTAAGCTCTTAGCGGCTAACAGAAGAGTTGACAGAACAGACTTACCCAAAAGCTCCAAAACAGAAAGACCTAGTAATCTGTTTCTGTAATGAATACATCGAGGAAAATCATTTAAAAAAAAATGCATCCAAGAACACTCTATGGGTAAATGCTACTGTGCCATGTAGAGTCATTTTGAGTCAAAAACCAACTAAGTGGTACTCAGCAACAATAAACCATCCAAGAATAATAGGGGGGGGGAGGCATCCAAACCATTTTTACAAGACTAATATCTGAAAAAGATACTGTTTTTGTCGTTAGTTGCCATCCAGTCAACTCCTGGTCTTATAGACCCAGTTAAACCACGCCCTACCCTGTCCCACCTTCATGATCTCCAGAAAATACTTGAATCTGGCATCATGTGAATGAATACTGCAAGCAAGTTGAGGTCCATAACTGGAATAAAAAACGTGCTCCATTATCAGTATATCTATTAAAGGAATTTCTCAAATTCACAGGTCAAAAACAAGAGGTTATCAGACAAAACTGAGCCCTGACATGTCATTTTATAAAATCTGATGCTATGAAAGATCCAGAACAGGGGAAACTACAGAGACAGGAAGTACGTAAGTGGTTTCTTAGGGTTGAAGGAGAGAAGAAGGGGCTAGTGAGAGAATACAGATTATTTTATTTCTTGTTTTGATGAGGCTTGAGCACTCAAGAATTGTAGGACAAGAACACAGAAGATCTGGAGTATACTTAGATTTCCCTGGAGTTGAGCTATCTATCTATACTCTCTCAAAACCAGCCCATCTTTTTATGGTTTTTAATTATGGTAATTATATATATATAACATATAATATATGTTTGTTGTTGTTGTTGTTGTTGTTGTTATGTGCCATCGAGTCGTTTGTGACTCATAGCGACTCTATGTACAACAGCCCTAAACTCTGCTCTGTCCTGTGCCAATCGCACTCTCTGACACTCCCATCCCGATTACC